CACAAGACAAGATGGTTCTCAGTTCCTCCGGTGACAAGACTGTATCCCTTGCTCATCAAGAAATTTCCAAGTGCAGCTGCGTTGGCCTTAACCTGCTTCGCATATACCTTGAATCCCGGGGTCATGGCCTGTTTCAATGCCACCGCAAGTGCCCCAATCTGGTGATTGTGAGGACCCCCCTGAAGGGAAGGGAACACAGCAAAGTTTATTTTGTCTTCAAAATCATACACTGCATTCTCAGGCTGCCCTTTCTTCGGCGGCTTAGGTCCCTTCCGGTAGAAGATCATACCCGCCCTAGGACCCCTCAAGCTCTTGTGGGTGGTTGTGGTGACAATATCACAGTACTCAAACGGATTATTAGCTTCCTGCACCAAATCAAAATGCATGTCAGAAAAACATTTAAGAAAGCACAGATCTGATCTGATCCGATCTAGTCTAGCATTTACCTGAGCAGCAACAAGACCACTAATGTGAGCCATGTCGCAAAGCAAGAGAGCACCGCACTTGTCGGCCACCTGTCTGAACCTGGCATAGTCCCAGTCCCTCGGGTAGGCACTGCCACCACAAATTATCAACTTGGGCCTGAAATCCAAGGCCTTCTCCTCCAACCTGTCGTAGTCGATGAATCCGGTGGCCGAATTCACCTTGTAAGGTAAACTCTCGAAGTAAATGGAGGTGGCGGAGATCTTCTTCCCACCGGAGGTGTAGTAACCGTGGGTGAGGTGGCCGCCGGAGGGGAGATCGAGGCCCATGATGCGGTCGTGGGGCTGGAGCACAGCGGTGTAGGCGGCGAAGTTGGCTGGAGAACCAGAGTAGGGTTGGACGTTGACGCCCCATTGGGAGGGAAGGAGGTGGAAGGCCTGGAGGGCGCGGGAACGGCAGAGGTTCTCAATCTGATCGATGAACTCGTTGCCGCCATAGTAGCGGTTGCCGGGCATACCCTCGGAGTACTTGTTGGTGAGGGCGCTGCCCAAGGCCTCTATGACGGCGAAGGAAGTGAAGTTCTCGGACGCTATGAGCTCTATTCCCCGACATTGACGACGCTTCTCCTTCTCAATGAGGTCGTGGATTTCAGGATCCACCGTGGCCAACGGCGTGTTACCCCAGGAACTCACGGCTTCCATCCTTTTCTTTGGCTTGCCTGAACACACAACACAGTGAATGAAGCAGCGAAGGCAGAGAGAGTACCACACTCTCCTCTCTCTGTCTCATCTTCCCTTAAATATACCCACCCACTTCATTTCTTGGTGAGGGTTGGTGAGGGTCCCCTGGTCATTTCCTCTCTCAATCCATTATTATTATTTCTTTTCTCACCACAAAAAATGTAATTCCTTCATACATAAATAACTCCTTCTTCTGTTCACCTAACCCCTGCTTTGTTATCATTAAAAAATGTAAATGTGTACCTTAATAAAGTAATATTAGATTAGCAAAATTAAAAATACTAAATATAAATATTAAGGTAGTGTTTAGACTAGAAATAAATTTGAAGGAATAGAAAAAGATGAAGTCAAAGAGAATAAGAAATAAAAATGAAATTGTTTCTATCCAGAAAAAAATAATAAAAAATATAGAAAAAATTAAGAGAATAATAGTGTGAAAAATTTTAAGTATTTTCATTTATATGAATAATAATAATAAAAATAATAAAATAATTTGGTGATTACCAAATTATTTTTTAGTGAAAATTATTATTATTATTATTATTATTAGAACTTAAATATTATAAATATTTGAATTATTTTATTTTCTTAATAACAAAAAAATTATTATTTATTATTATTATTATAATAATAATTGTTCTTGTAATTATAATTATAGTTATATTTGTATTTATTATTAGTATTATATTACAATAATTTTATGGAATAGAAATAGTGGAGAAAATTAAAAGACAATTTAAAAAATAAAATTCATATTATTTTAAACATTTAGTTAAAAATATTAAAAAAATAATTAATACATAATTTATTTACATATGATTTTTATAAAAAAATCATATAATATTATAATAATTGTGAAATAAATATAAATAATTAAATTTGATAATGAGGTAAAATAATATTTTTTATTAAAATAAATTGATTTTTTTAACTTTACATTTTTTTTATGGGTGGATGACTTCTCCTTAATTTTCATTTATTTTTTACTTTTATTCCAACTTATTTAATTCATTCAAATAATCGGGATATGAGTAGATAGACTAAACTAGGCTAAAGTTTTTATTGGATTATCTTGGTGTGAGACTTTAATATCATTTACTATGTCTTAGGTTTTCAAATTTAGTTTAATAAATTCTCAGAATGTATTTATTTATAATTTTGCTAGTTAAACTTACTCATAAAAGTGTTCCTTTTATTTGTTTTTGCAATGCTGGTCAACCCCAAGTGTCATTGAAAAATTATTTTTTCTTAAAAAATTAAATCAGTACAAGAGTAAGCTTCTATCTAAACCTTATTGTATAGAGTCAGACTTATTCTTTTTATATTTTCCTTTGTCGTTGATAACACTTAATAAAATATATACTGTTTTTAATAAAAAAATGTGTTTAGGAATATGAAATCGGTATTTTTAATATTCTTATAATTATTTTTTTATAAAATTTAGCAAATTGCATGAATGCTATTTTTTAATCTAGTTATAGTTTCCTTCTATGATTTTTTTTACTCTAATAATTTATTATTTGAAATATTTTAAAAAAATAATAATTTTAACTAACACAGGTTTTTATATATATTAAAAAATATCTGTGATTATAACAGTTTGAAAATATAAGATTATTATGATAGGAGGTGGATGGTGTGGGATATTTTTGTGAATGTGAGAGACACCAACTGTGGAGTCATGATCCATTTGATACATCTTTCTTAAATTCTATAAAATATTATTTTTATAATATAATAAATAATAAATTGATTAATAATAATATTTTTATAAAAATAATAATAATTATTATTGATATCATTATAAATTATAAATATAAAATACATTAAAAAATTAAAATTAATAATGATTAAAATAGAATAAAAATATATTAAAATAATTGTTATTTAAAGTTAATATAATTAATATAAAATAAAAAATATTATATATTTTATAATATATATATATATTATAAAATTTTAAATTTAATTTTACCGATTGAAGAGAAATATATGTTTGATTGGTTTTTTAATGATATTTCTAACGATTTTTTTGGTTTCATATCAATTTAATTAAAATCTAAATATTTAAAAACAACAAATTGATTTGCCATTAGACGGATTGAATCCAGTCTAATTTTTAAAATAAAAAATATTATATATATATATATATATTATTTAATTCAAATACTTATATTTAAATTGTTAAATTAATTATAAGAGTAATAATTTATTATTAATTAATTGATTAATATTAGTTCTTAATAAATTAAACAAATCCAATAGTAGGTGAGAGTGAGCCAACCTCTATCATCGTCATGCCCACTCACACAACAAACAACATTTTTTTATTCCACTATCTTAGCCAAGTTTTTCTCCTCCTAAATTCAGGAGTAAAATGTTATTCACATTGGAAATTATATTTACTTTTAAATTAATAAATAAATAATATTTTTATACATATACCAAAATTATCATGCTCATTTTAAAAATAAATAAAAAAATGTATCATAAACAAAAATTAAACTTATTTATTTTTGTGATAATATATACTGTGTTTGCGAATTTCTTTAATATGAAAAAAATAATGATATAACTTCTCAACATAATCTTAAACAAACACACACATGATAACACAGTTTATATGTACTTTGGAGTGTGGAATGCCTATATAGTTAATAGGCTATGTTTAATGTTCTGTTTGGATTTGAGCTTACCAAGTGAAAGAAAATAAATTAAAAAAATAAAAATAAAAGTCACTCGAAAAAATTAAATAAAATTATTTTTTTATTATCATAATATTATTATTATTTTATTGGCTTATTATTTCTAAAAATTATTAAAAATAAGAAAAATAAATCCATAATTAATTATATGATTCTTATTTTCATTACGACATTAACGTAGATAATGAAAAAACAGCAAGAAAAGTAATTGTTATAGAGAATTACTAATAAATAAAAATAAATATTTTATAATGGATTTTATATTTAAATTGTTTAAAAATCAAGAAAATTACTTAAAATAAAAAAAATTATATAAGATATTATGATCAAATTTTAAATAATTTAATGATAGAAATGGTAATAAAATGTTTAATTTTATTTTTAAGTTACTTTTGTTAAAAAGTCTTAAAATGCTCTAATTTACTATATTATATTGCAAGGATTAATAAAAACAATTTTTTTTTTCAAGTTATCATTAATAAATTACTACAGGTACAGATTCATCATAAAAGAGAACAATATACTTATCAATATATTAATATAATTTATAGGAAACTAATTTTGTACTTTGATTTAATATGATCGATAAAATTTCGTAATTAAAAATAGACCTACAAAAAATGAGAACTTTAAGGACAAGTGGTGTATTATTATTTGAATAGCTTATTTTAACTCTTAGAGTAGTTTAAACAATAAAGTATTTTTCAAGAAGTTATTTGTCAAAATTTAATTAAAAATATTTTAGTTCCAAATGTATATTTTAGTTTAGTTATTTTAACATTCTATTAGAAAAGAAAATAATAGGTTGGGAAAATGATAGGATGAATTAGTAAAAAGGTTGGTGGCTAAGATGTAGCGGGAAGTAGGAAAAATGAGTTAAAAAAGAAGTAATGGTAGGATTAAAAAGATGATTTAAAAACGATAAGAATGAGTAGAGCCACGAAATACGATCATGAAGTTTGATTTTAGCGGGTGGAGAAGAAAAGAGAGATCCCGAAGCAGAGGAGATGGAATCAATGAGAATGCTCCACGTGGAGTCGGTGGAAGCTATTTATACCGTGCACAGCCAGACCCTCTAACACAGAAACACAGAAACACAGAGTTTGCAATTGGGCTTCCTTGAAGATCGAGAATGGCGTTGCTGGTGGAGAAAACAAGCAGTGGGAGGGAGTACAAGGTGAAGGACATGAGCCAGGCCGATTTCGGAAGAATGGAGCTAGAGCTCGCCGAGGTTGAAATGCCCGGCCTCATGTCCTGCCGCGCTGAATTCGGACCCTCTCAGCCCTTCAAAGGCGCCAAGATCACCGGCTCCCTCCACATGACCATCCAAACCGCCGTCCTCATCGAGACCCTCACCTCCCTCGGCGCCGAGGTCCGCTGGTGTTCATGCAACATCTTCTCTACGCAGGACCACGCCGCCGCCGCCATCGCCCGCGACAGCGCATCCGTCTTCGCCTGGAAGGGCGAGACCCTCCAGGAGTACTGGTGGTGCACCGAGCGCGCCCTCGACTGGGGCCCCGGCGGCGGCCCTGATCTCATCGTGGATGACGGCGGCGACACCACGCTCCTCATCCACGAGGGTGTGAAGGCGGAGCAGGTTTACGAGAAGACGGGGCAGTTCCCTGACCCCGCTTCCTCGGACAATGCGGAGTTCCAGATCGTGCTGACCATCATCAAGGATGGGTTGAAGACCGATCCCAAGAAGTACCACAAGATGAAGGACAGACTGGTGGGCGTCTCCGAAGAAACCACCACCGGTGTCAAGAGGCTCTACCAGATGCAGGCCAATGGCACCCTCTTGTTCCCAGCCATCAATGTCAACGACTCTGTCACCAAGAGCAAGGTCCGCATTCATTACTTACTTCCTTTTTCACGTCTTACGAGTTTCAATTCAATTCAGACTCATGTAAGTGTTTTTGTGTTGTGTGATCACAGTTTGATAACTTGTATGGATGCCGTCACTCGCTCCCCGATGGGTTGATGAGAGCCACTGACGTGATGATCGCCGGCAAGGTTGCTGTGATTTGTGGTTACGGAGATGTTGGGAAGGGTTGTGCTGCTGCCATGAAGCAGGCTGGGGCTCGTGTGATAGTGACGGAGATCGATCCTATTTGTGCCCTTCAGGCTATGATGGAGGGTCTCCAGGTTCTGACCCTGGAGGATGTTGTCTCTCAGGCCGACATCTTCGTTACGACGACCGGGAACAAGGACATTATCATGGTGAGCCACATGAAGAAAATGAAGAACAATGCGATTGTGTGCAACATTGGACACTTCGACAATGAAATCGATATGATGGGGCTTGAGACGTACCCTGGTGTGAAGCGCACTAATATTAAGCCTCAAACCGACAGATGGGTTTTCCCTGAGACCAACACAGGCATCATCGTGTTGGCTGAGGGTCGGCTGATGAACTTGGGGTGTGCGACGGGGCACCCCAGCTTTGTGATGTCGTGTTCCTTCACCAACCAGGTCATCGCTCAGCTTGAGCTCTGGAAGGAGAAGGGCACTGGGAAGTATGAGAAGAAGGTTTATGTTTTGCCAAAACACCTGGATGAGAAGGTTGCTGCTCTCCACCTTGGCCAACTTGGAGCCAAGCTCACCAAGCTCACCAAAGAACAGGCTGATTACATCAGTGTCCCCGTCGAGGGTCCATACAAGCCTGCTCATTACAGGTACTGACCACCTCTTCCAACCCAAACCATCCTACGTCCAGCCTCCATACGACATTCTCTTTGTTTCTTCCTAGGTTCAGTCAGAGCAACTCGTTTGTCTCTCTATGGAATGAGACCAAATGGGTCTGAATAAGGCTTTCGCTGCGGCTATGGGTTATCATTTTTGTTTACATCCAATTCTGTACCTCTTTCATGTTCCACCAAATGCCTAAGGATATTTTTTTGAGAATATCACGTCTGTAAAATCTATATCATCAGTTCATCACCAGGATTGATTAATATAGTTTAAATAAGAAATAGTACAAATAAAACAAACTTTCAATTCTTTATACTATGTTTTCTAAATTTTATTTACTTTTTAATCTTTTGCCATGAAAAAATAATTTTATGTTTATTTTATTTATTCATATATATTGAGAAGAGTAATTTGAGAATACTATATCAAATTTATGTTTTAAAAAATGGATGTCATTAGAGTGCATAAATCTTTTGGAGTGTCTATTCATAATTTCATTTTCCCGCTGAGAATATGTAACCAAAATTTGCTAAGTTTGCGACAGGGCATGATACTATGAACAAGGTTAGTCTTTATTCGAGTAGGTTAAGAAAAACTTGTGACACGACAAAAGAAGAAAAAGAATTCTAAGAATAAAGTGTTATATTTTAACTTCCTTTTAGGAATTGTCCACTTTTATGTTGAATGTTTTATTCTGAAAGATATTTATAAATTAGTTTTGAACTGAATTTTAAGTAATGCGAAACGTTAGTACTTACCAAATCCAACTATACAAATCAACATTGTATAGGCTTCTGCTTTGTTGCCAATTTGTAGTTTTCTACCAGAATCCATATGGAAAATAGTTTATTCTTATTGTATTCTCTTGAAAAGTATGTATATATGACAGAGGAGAAAAATGGAGGGTGGCAGTTGGAGTGGATTTTGTATGCTACACTGTACTCTCTAAGATGGATTTGTAGGTTTGTAGTTCCACTCTATTGCCCAATCAAATAGAAGAAGTAACAAAGGTAATGGTCTGTTACACCATTCTATGTAACTTCGTTTATTGGATCCTCTTTCTGTGCTTAAAATCGGATCCACCACACGCACTCACTCATGCTCATTGCATAGCCACTAGCCCATTAGCCGCCGTTTGTTTGAATATCCACCAACAAAAAGTGGCGCCTACCATACTTTTACCACTACCAATTACCAATAGCCACCAATAATCAACTCATCATCACAACTGCATTTTGAAGCTTCAATGCTTTCCACCCAACACTTTTCTCCTTCCAATGCCACGCTACCCAAACCATCGTTCTTGTCTACAGAGTTTACATTCATTTCAAATCTAATTAGCTTAGTCAAAGTTTTCAGATTAAGCTTTTGCCTTTCTACATTTCTCTTTCACATTATTCCAATATGCCTCCTAACCAACATTATTCTAATACTGCTAAAAAGATGAAATAAGGAATTGATCCTTCCATTTGGGAAGGGATGTTACACTGTTATGCAATACTACAACAAGGAAAATAGGAGTGCCTTTGTACCCAAGGCAGATAATTTCAATTAAAGTAACAAAAACAGAAAAACAATGATCACCTAACATGTATGCGTAAGAAATGGTTTTTCGTTTTCTGAACAGTCGACCAACATCAATAATAACAAAAGATCCGAAAGCCAATAATCCAGAAAGTGATAGCAAGTAACATCTTTCTTACCTTATCAGAAAGCTCAAAAGCAGTATTAGATGCAACGTTTCCAACAGACAGCTTTAGAAATTAAATTTTGGAAAAAAATATGTTTTGCTCAAGAAAGCCAGAAGGCAGACACCTCTAGTAACATTCAAGAAAGTAAACAACAGTCGAAGTGAAAGACCAGCAGGATTTGGCCATATAAACACGAGATCCCACGGTAGTACTCAATCATCTAAATTAGATCAGCTCAAACTGGAAATGGGCAATTAGAGATTGTTTTAAATAAGGTGGTTCTGCAATTCATATTTTTTTAAATGTTGTTTGGTCAACCCACATGAAGAAATCAACTTCTTTTCCCTTGCACCCAAAACTGGTGTTATGTTAGGAGCTATCTTCTGCACTATACGTTTGGTTTGTCTTATTATTAAGTCAAATGTAAGTAGTTTTTCCATTGCCTCATGCCGGTTGATTTTCCCTCACCACACTAAAACTTGATATTTGCCGACATCAGAACTACAAGAAAAGCCTAGTTTCTGGGAGGGAGAATATACATCGCTCTTAACATTTTCTATCCCGATAATCGAAGACCAAATTATTTCAAGAGAAAGTTAAACTCCACAACTAATCCCTATGGTAAGTCGTTGAATGAACAATTTCCTTTTTCTTTTTTTGCTAAAAGGGATATCATTTAATTTTTCTAGACCCTCCTTCCAACAAAATGATATCACTAAATTGGAATAGTAACCACAACTTTTTATCGTATTTGTAACAAATAAGCATCATAATGTCAAGGAAAATGTGACATCTGCTGGGAAAGAAAATTCGACACTTAGATAGATACGCTGGTCATATATATGTTTAAAGGGAAATAGAAAACATTTAAAGGGATGATCTTAACTACAAAAGAAAGATAATGGGGGAAAGAAAAGAAAAAAAAAAAAAAAAGGGGAAAAGAGAAAGGAGAACGCTTTCCCCCATCCATTGTAAGTTCTAACCTATCAAGTGTTGATGTCTTGACCTCTTGCACATGCAGTAATTACCTCACAGCCTCTATTATAAGGATTTGCTCGTATTGCATGACAATTGTAGTAAGAAGCTCCAGCCCTATCACACGGAACCATGTCTCTCTTCAGTGTCTCATAGCTAATGTACTTTTTCTGCATTGCCAGAACTCTTCTGTTGGTTTCAGAATCCATCTCCGGCTCTGTCAAACTCAAACACTCTCCAATGCTCTTGGTGCAAACCCTTTTGGTCATCACATCTATTTCCCTGTGTTTCAACAAATTGAGGTCCCCAAACGATAGGGCGTTGCAGATTGGGGGCTGGGCATGGAACAGAACAAGGAGGGCCAGACAGAGGAAGATGGTGGAAACGAATCTGGGTTGGGACATTGTTGTGTTTAGAGCTTTTCTATTTTGAGTTAGCGAAAGTGAGATGCTTGGTTGTTGGAGGGTTATAAATTGGGGAGTAGGTGTAGGAGTGGTGCAGCACAGTAAGACTTGGCATCGCAGATTTTGTGTTACAACTGGTCAACTATATTAGTGCCATCATTACTGTCAGCAACCCAGAATGAGAGAAATCATTACATCCAAGAATTAGAATCCAACACAGCCACTGAATTTGATTAATTTTTCATAGTGGTTAGGTTAGTATCCTTATCGATTCATGACATGAATGCCTCATTAGTCGATTGATTAATGAATCTTTCTACTTACATTACCTTTTTCTATGTATTACTATTCTATAAAAAAAAACTATTATGGTTTTTTATTTCATTTTCCCCATAAATTATAGTTTTCGTAATTAAATATTCTAAACATGGTATTTAATAATAAATTTTAGTCTTAATTACCTTCATATTTATTTGGAGATAATCATAAATAGTGTTGCAGATCACAGTACACACCAAGGAAGAATCGTTTTATGACTCAAAAACAATCCCACAAGAAAATAAAATACGTTGAACTATGGACAAAACAAAAAGACTAACCTAAATTAAAAACAACCTACACATCTAATCTAACAAAATTATTTAAGGCAAAAAGAAGGGATATAAGGCTTTTCCCAAGAGAAAAACAACAGTTATGCCGCGTCAAAAAGGCTACCGAGAATACTGAAACAAAAAGAAAAGGAAGAATAGAGAAAGAATGAGAAAAATTAAAGTTAGATTGAAACAGTTAAGAATAAAACATTTGAGTTAAAATATGTTAACCAGAAAAGTATACTAAAAGACATTTTTGTTGTGTGTAAATAGACCTTCCTTTTACTATCAATATGTCAAAAAAATAAGTGGAAGAAGTAACAATGAAGCAAGCAAACTGACCAAGCAAAGAGCGTCGGAATTTAACTAATTAAATTTGATAAAGGATATATGAAGCATTTGGGCAATAATTACCTTATCTTGGTTTAGGGTGTTTTAAATGGAAAATAAAAACATTAGCAATAAAACCATGAATGAATTACACCGGCATATGAGTTTTACGGTGCAAGGAGTTCTACATCTCAGAAAAACATTCAGCCAAGAACAGAAATTTGAAGTAGGTAACAAATTCTTGTTCTTTCCTGCCTCTTCAAATATATAATGGCATAAGTCATTTTCGTTGTGGTGTTCAACAGTCCCAATTAACGTAACAACGAGTATGATCGAATTAAAAAATAGCATCTGGTTCATTTTATACAGCAGTAGCACGGCTCAGAACTCACAAGTTGTATTTGTTGCTGATGTCACCCCACCTTTCCATCATATTACGGGAATAGAGTGATATTACTTATGTTGTTTAAAAGATAAAAGTGAAAAGAATTGCAGTGCAAAAGTGAGGGCCACATTGCTTTGCTACTTCACTTTACTTGAGTGGCAATCAAAATGCAGAACAGAAAAGAATGCATATCCGGCTACCTTCCATTCCAATTCAAACTTTTACTATCCATTCGACAAAGAAAAACCAAGCCACGCAATCATTCACAAAGTTTACCGACTCTGTTAAATAAAAACATTCTAAACACGGATGTCTACAAAAACTGCCACGTGGCTACCTAGTACCTTACATACATCAGTGATAATCTGGCTAAAGCAAATGCAGATTATCCACATTTTACACAATATAGGCATATAACTTGATGTCAAGATTCAAATAGTATGTTTAAATTATCATGCAAATCTCCCATACCAATATCAAAACTAGTATTAAGGCTCCAGGACAATATGGTCAGAGTGTGAGCTGATCCATGTCCATAACATCTCCAGAGATTCCATGAACTGAGCGCCCTTCATGTTGCTCAGCAACATATGCATTTGCTTTGTGGGTGGACAATGAGCCTTCATTGTCTGAACAGCCCGGTCTTTCAGTAAGGAACTGTTCCCAGAACACATCATTTACTCTAACTGGAGCAGTTTGGGGAGCCTCAGCTAAATTAGTAACCTCGTTTAGATTTCTGCTTGAGGAAGCTCCAACATCGGATTCTTTACTATTATTGGCACAAAATTTTGATCCTTCCAATTTGCCAAATTCGGGACAGTCTATTAGGGATGGGGATCTATCTGTGCATGAATTTCTCTTGACTTGTAATGGAGAAGATGCCAGAGTTAGATTTAAAAGACAGGATATATAACTATCACCATCTTCATATTTGGGGCTCTCAGCAACTGTGGCGGTTTGTGATAAACAGGAATGCCTCTGAAAGGTAAAAGATTCTCCAGTTTGTGCAAGCTCTGATGTCTCAGGTAGCATCATCCTATGTGGACTTTCTCCATCTTCATTTGAACTCTGTGTACTACATGACACCACCAAGTTCATATCTGAAAGAGCAGGTGACAATTCCAGTGTGAGTTTATTGGAGAAATCTTGATGAGAAATACGTTCAAATTCCATTCCAAAACTGTCAATAAAGGTGTTTCCTGCAACAGGCTGCAAGTGATGGTCATGATCATGGTCATCAACCTGAGGAGGTAATCGCCTTTTCTTGTTATATGCCAACAAATCCATGGACTCGACTTTGCGTGTGATTTGCTGAACAAGAGTAGGATTGTGAAGAGCCTTTTGAAAGAAGGTGATCAAATTTTGCTGCCTCTCCTCCATGCCATCCAATCGCAGGCGTAGATCTTCAAGATGAGTCTTTGCCGCAGAGTGATGTTGTTTGAAGCGGGAAATATTGGATTGAATGGTGGTCTTGTCGAGTGAAAGTTTCTCTATTTGTTCCTCAAATGCTGACCTTTCAGAATCCACAGCAGGTTGTGTGAGTGAGTGACTGTGGACAGGCTTCCTGCGGTGAATATTTTTTAGAAGATGCTTTTGATCTTTCACAAAATCCTCATTAGCAAACTCCCATCGCTCAGGGTGCACTTTTCGAAATCCCTGACAATAGAGATGCGTATGGAAAATTGGCAGAGCTCAATAGTATACAAAACAATCAATTGTTGTTTCATTTAAAACACTTTACAATTCAGAGGAATAGTATAGATAGGTAAAGGACATGAAGAAACACATGAAGAAAAACAAAATAAAAGAGAGAATGATATGATGCATGCAGAGAGAGCGAGAGAGAGATACATAGGTATTAAGTTGACGGATGAAGCTGGAGAAGTTGTTGTGCTTGAAAAAAGTGGGAAGAAGCAGACGAGAGAATTCAGCAGGGTTCCAGACTATGAAGGTGTTGTTGGTGGAACTCCACGATACAATTTCCTCCGTCGATGAATCGTCTACCATCTCGTATGTCTTCAGTAGGAACGGTGCCGGAGCTGTTGAACCTGACCCTGACCCTGACCCTATTCCCTCCATTTTCTTCTTCTGGTGATAGATACAAAACCGCACAACACAACACAACACAAAACACACGCAACTCTTATTCCTATTCCTATCCAATTTCATCTTACGTAACTAACATCCTTGGTTGACTTTTACTTTGTCCCTGTTAACGACGAAACCCTACAGGATCGATGCTTCCATAAACACCAATTCACCGTCTTCCCATTTTGTTATTGTAAAAAATATATGTAAGCCCTTTAATTAAGTTAATTACTGTATAAAAGATAAGTGTGTATAAATTAAACTAATGAAAATGTGTGTTAGAAAAAGCCTAGCACTTTCCTAACATTTTTTCTCCTTCATTTTGACCCGGAGACACGGTTCTACCTTCAAAACCTATGACTTTCATCGATAACAAAAACCCTGAGCACTTCTGTAACTTCTGTGTCAGGTTGTTTTAGGTCAACGACTTTGGATTTTCTAGGATACTTGATTATTAAAATAATGACATGGCTTTCTAAATCCTCATATCTCTTATGCCATCTTCAATTTAAAAATGTAAAAGTATTTCGAAAATTAATTCTAAGAAAATATGTTTCACCACTTAAAATGTTTTAATAAGCTAAAATATTATCAAATAAAAATTTATTGAAATCAAAAGTAAAAAATTATACGGGTCGGTTTAATTCAGTCAGTCACGAGTCATCTAACGGTGTTAGACATGATGTTTGCTATATTAGACTCATAATATTTTCATAAAAAAAAATCAAAATCACGTTACGCTTAGAGATACTAAACGTAATTAGCGGTGTGTGATAAACCTAAACATTTGGCGCCGACAAGGGAACGGAGGTTTGTTTGATACTCCGTGAGAGACAATATGAAGTCAAGTCTATAAATTTGATGGTTGTCTTTTTGGGAATTCCAGAAGCTGATGCTGCGATCAGTTTGTTTCGTAGCGATGCGTCTGAACATGATCGCACTCACAACCTAAGCTTCCCACATGCATACTTCAATTCAATATCAAATGGATAAATCAGCCCTCATGTCCCGGTGTTGCTACGATAACCACCACTTCTGCTTTGCGATTCTCTTCTCCATTCTCTTCTGCTCTTTATTCTTATCCTTTCGTGCTCCCAACCACGCACTTACATTCAAACAACTCAACCCATCCAACGCCAAAAATCTCACCACCAACACTCATTCCTGCATTGGCCGCTATGTTTACATTCACCAACTCCCTTCCCGCTTCAACAATTACTTGCTTCACAACTGCCACTCCCTTACCAGAGGCACTGACAAACCCAACATGTGTCCATACATGCAAAACATGGGCTTAGGTCCTCAGATTGCCACCTCTCAAGGTGTTTTCACCAACAACAGTTGGTATGCCACCAACCAATTCTTGTTGGAGGTCATTTTTCACAACAGGATGAGGAAATATGGCTGCTTGACCAACGATTCCTCCTTGGCCTCTGCAATCTTTGTCCCATTTTATGCTGGTCTTGACGTTAGCCGTTTCCTTTGGCTCTCTAATCTCACAGATAGAGACTCCTCTGGTCGAGATCTTGTTCAATGGCTCGCAAACAGACCCGAGTGGAAGAAAATGTGGGGCAGAGACCATTTCCTTATTTCTGGGAGGATTGCTTGGGATTTTAGGAGACAACGCGATGATGAGTCCTATTGGGGTAGTAAGTTCAGATTTCTTCCCGAATCCATGAACATGTCCATGTTAGCAGTTGAAGCAAGTTCGTGGAACAATGACTATGCAATACCCTACCCAACTTCTTTCCATCCCTCAAAAGACACTCAAGTTTTGCAATGGCAGAGAAAAATCAGACAACAAAAGCGGCCGCACTTGTTTACTTTCACTGGAGCTCCAAGGCCTGAACTTGAAGGTTCTATCAGGGGTAAGATAATAGACCAGTGTCGAGCTTCGAGTGTTTGCAAATTCGTCGACTGCAGTTATGGTATAGAGAGATGTGACGATCCCATCAATGTTATAAAGGTGTTTCAAAGTTCTGTGTTTTGTTTGCAGCCTCCCGGTGACTCGTACACCAGAAGGTCCATATTTGATTCTATGTTGGCTGGTTGTATTCCCGTTTTCTTTCATCCTGGCAGTGCTTATTCACAGTACAAGTGGCATTTACCTAAGAATAGGAGTAGTTACTCTGTGTATATACCCGTGAAAGATGTAAAACAATGGAATGTCAATGTCGAACAGGTGTTGCTGGGAATTCCAGAGGGTGATGTCTTAGCTATGAGGGAGGAGGTTATAAAGGTGATTCCAAATATTATTTATGCAGATCCTAGGTCAAAGTTAAATAACTTTGAAGATGCATTTGATTTAGCAGTAAAAGGAATGCTTGAAAGAATAGAGAAAGTGAGGGAAGCAACGAGGAGAGGCATAGATCCTAGCATTGGTTTTGCAGATGAAGACCATTATAAATATACATTTTCACAAAATTAAAGCTAAAGGACAACATATTATATGGCATGCCGTTTCATGATATTAGTCATGCCGGAAAATCACCATTCATAGTTAGCATATTCCCTAGAGACAAGGTGTTCTGGTTTTTCTGATTTATTCATTATGCTTGCTTCTTGGCCTAGAAAGAAAGGAAATCTGGTTGCAGTGATAACAAGTGAAGGAAATTCAATGTCTGGTAGGAACAAAGACGGGTAACAAATAGCAGTAAAAACTGTTTTCTCTCCTTGGCTTGTTGGTTTTTTTATAAGTAAAACATGAGTAGAATTTGAGAAGATAAATAACCATTTGAGAAAAACAACATAAGCACATGTGTGTTGTAACATTGGAACCCTCTTTGTTTGTTACGTCTCTACTCTAGAATTACTGTCTGCCGACACTGAGTTTAACCATTTACTGGTCTTGAAAGACATGAGCATACATCTTGTGATTGGCATACAATGAATGTAACCCTGCGCTGACAGTGGCAGGATGATGAAATTTGAATAAAGTTTAGCATGGCATACAGTATGGTCACATACCTCACACCGTGAGTCAGAGTCAGAGTCACAAAAGATGGGGCAGTGAACCAGTAGACCCCAACTCCCCGTATTATCGCCTGCAATTAAGGCCCCATTACACGACTCTCACTAAAGCCACCGTTCCCAGCCTTTTTCTATGAAAAGGCTCACACACTCCAATTTCCTTTCCAAACCATGTCATCTAGTCAAACTTTTCCTTTCTACTTTCTTTTTTTCCATCCATTCGTTTTCTACATTTTTTTTATACTTTTGCTAAGGTATAAATGTATTTTTTATAAAATAAGTGAGTTTTTTTTCCAACACTCCCCTAATATTAATTTAAAAATTTCACATGTGAAACAAAAAGGTTGAGTGATCATCTCTAATTATACAGTGTTTATGTTGTAATGTTTGAGATACTAAATAAAAATCAACATCACTATAAAAAATATTTCTTATCTATTTTTTTAGAATGAGCAATAAAAATTGAAAAATGTTATTTGAAACTTAAAACATATAAAAAGTAAAAAATTTGTTACTAAATTAAATTTCACTTGTTTTATTAAAACTAAAATTAACAAATTAAAATAATATAAAGATGACAAATAATTATACTTATAAAACCAAAAATCAAAACATTGTATTTAGGAAACTAACAACCTATTTAAACTTAAATTTTCATTAAAATTTTATTTTTTATATATAAAATCATTGTGTAAATTTAACATAACATTCTATTGTGTTGTGTTTGGAAAAAAGTTCCCGTTATGTTATTTTAAGAAATATATTCAACATTAGAAAAATAATATATGTAGAGTGTTGTAGAAGTGTTAAAGGTGAGGAATATTTTCATAAAAAAGAAAGTCTCTGGAATGTTAGGGTGTGTTAATAGTAATTCAGGGGTGCTAATAGTAACCATTATTGGAAGAGTACGTTCAGCCTCAAGCAACCCAATCCAACTCAAAACTCGTGTGCTTCTTGAACACAGAGCCCAACAGACAAACTTTAGCGAGAGAAAAAAAAAAAACCCCACATTGCTCGAAAGCAAGGAGTGTGAAGAATGGTTGCGGCGAACTCTGACGTCTCTCTCTACGAATGAAACGTTGTTCTTCACTCTCACTGCGCTCATCTCAATTCAATCGAACCCTTTTAACTTTTTTGCGGCGGCATTAAAGCAGGGCAGTGCTCAGAAAACATGGAAACGTTTCAGTTATTCTCTTCCTCTGCTTCCGGCTTCGGAATCTTCGATGAAGCCGCACAACATTCGCCTACCATACCCCCTCCTCCTTGCGTTGAAGTCCTCGCTTCTGAGGTATTCTTCTTTCTCCCTTCATCATTCTTTTGGAATGATGCCGTTTTTAATATTGCTTCTTTTCCCTCAAAATTAGGTTCCTTCATCCGCCAAACACAACGTGGAGTCTGTAAATTTGGATGGAGTTACATTGTTAAAGGTAATGTTTCTTTCTTTGTCTTCGAATTATTTGTAGGTAGATTATAATTTTAGTCCTATTGCTTATGTTACTTGATGGACGATTCTCAGGGGCGCGTGAGTACCCAACAAGTTTTTGGTTTGTCCAACTCCGACTTAATTCCCGGAAAATATGAAGGTGGTGCCATTTCGTTCCTTGCATTGCTGTTTATCCGTTCATTTCCATCTTGTTGATGACTGAATCAGTTGAACTCTTGGTTCCCTTTTTGCTAGGAGGACTGAAGCTGTGGGAAGGTTCACTTGATTTAATTAAAGCCCTTCGTTCAGATATGAAAGCCGGGCTTATATCATTTCGTGGGAAGCGAGTATTAGAGGTGGGTTTCTCTTCTTCTAGCTGATTGTCTGGTTGTTTAGTTTCGAGGGAAAAAAAAATTCTGGCTATTTAGTTTTGAGTTGAAATTCTAGATGCATATATTGAAGAACTGTAACTATTAGCTATTATGGATAGATGTAGTTATATATAACGGTACAAGGACAAAACTTATGTGTGTTAAAAACATATTTAAGTTTTTATACCAGCGATAAGATTGAATTTAGAACTTGCAAAGTCAAAGTTATGCAACTGCTGTCCCGGGCATAATTGTTCACATAGAAGGATTACACCAAGCAGGTGTCCAGATCGAATTCGTTTCTTACCAGTATTTTCTGATTCCACTGCACTTAACTTGGATTTAATATCAAGATATCTGCTAGACTTCTTAAGTTTACCTGCTTATTATAGTCTTGCATTTACTGACGAGATATTTATTTTGTCCATTTTGCTTGTCTGATAGCATATTGAAGAAAATGAAATTTATCAAGGGGTTCAATTTTAGAAGATAAAATTATCATCGGAAACTAACAGACATCTCTGAGTAATTTCTCCATATCATTGATTGGATTTGTTAAATACTTAAAAATGTATATTCACGAATGTCATGGAGCTAGTTACTGCCATAAAGTCATTTGAACATTGCACATCGGCTGTTTTAAAGATTGCATTCCTAGTGTCAAATGTTTTACCATATCCTGTTTAAAAACATCAGGATGTTTCAATGATAGCAAGCCAATTTCTAGGATTCTTCCCATAGAAGTATAAGACCTTTTTAGATGACATGGGAAACAAGTTAAAGATCATGTATAAGAAATTACTTATCTTTTTCCATGATTAATTGTATTGTATGGCAATAATAAATAGGGGTTGAGACCACCCACTCATGCAGTTAAGTGCAACAATAAAGTGAATTTTAATTCTTATTTTAACTTGCTTCCTAGTGCATTGGTTTTATTCACCTAATGTTGAGCATTTATGGGATTTTAGCAGGACATAGTTCAATCATTTATATTTTTGTTCAATTTGAGTATGTGGCTAAGATATGTTGTGCATCATGATCATAACCCATTAGAATTTATGGGTGGTACTCCCTTTACTGTCTAACAATAGAGATTAGAAAAACTCAGATTAGAGGGTTTTTTCCCCAGATATATATATATATATATATATATATATATATATATATATATATATATATATATATATATATATATATATATATATATATATATATATATATATATATATATATATATATATATATATATATATATATATATATATATATATATATATATATATATATATATATATATATATATATATATAGGAGGAAGATATCTTATGTGTAATGTATGTATATCTCTTAGTAGAAAAGTTCTCCATCTATCGCCGTTTTTATCATTTAATATTTGATTTTCAGGTAGGATGCGGCCATGGATTGCCTGGAATATTTGCTTTGCTCGAGGTGAAACTATGGTTCATTGGCTTTGCTTTAGCATCCTTAACTTAGAAAATATAATAATGTGCTTATTATGGTTGCTTTAGGGGGCAGCTGCTGTACATTTTCAAGACTTCAATGCTGAGGTCCTAAGTTGCCTCACCATTCCTAATTTAAATGCAAATATTTCTGGAAAATCTCAAGCATCATCATCCAACCTAACAATTTGTGACAAAGCAGAAGTTCGCTTTTTTGCTGGTGACTGGAGTGGAATTGATAAACTGCTCCCTCATGTTAGTACAGATGATAATCGTGGTGATGGTTATGACTTTATTCTGATGGCTGAAACAGTTTACTCGGTCAGCAGTCTCCAAATTCTCTATAATCTTATCAAGAAGGTATTCTTTTGTTCATTGACGAGAGCAAAATTATATTTCTATGTCGAGTCGTTGCATCATAAATTTGAGTACATTTATCTGTGTTTATTAATGTATGTTTTTAATTATAAAATGTTGTTTTTCTTATCTATGGAAATGTTTAATACGCAGTGCTTGCAACATCCTGATGGAGTGGTGTACATGGCAGCAAAGAAGTATTATTTTGGAGTAGGCGGTGGAACTCGGAGATTTTTGTCTCTGGTAGAAAAGGATGGTGAGCTAGTCCTGACATGCAATTATATCCACGCTGGATTGTTAATCTGAATTTCTTATTCTTTGTATGTTATGCCCTTTCCAGTTGCATAATAAAAAGTAGGGATAAGTATGTTCTTGGTCTCTATATTTATTTTAAACTTTTTAGTTCTTATATATTGAAATTGATAAATATAATTCTCAAACTTTTGAAAATATGTGATTTTAGTCTTTTTTATTAGTACTTAAATTTATCATTGAGTGATAGTTTTTAACTGTTATAAAGTTTATAGAGTGATTAAATGTACAAAATATGTGATTTTAGTTTTTTTAATACCTAATTTTAACATTGGTAACAGTTTTTTATTGTCACAAAATTGATAAAATGATTAAATTCACCATTTATTTTTTAAGTTTGAGACCTTAAATTTTTAAAGTATAGGGACCAAAATCAAATTTCAAGAAGAGTACAAGGACTAAAAATGTATTTAATCCTTGAAAATCCTTGATATGCAAACAACTTGTAGAACCATAGTGATCCTTTTAAGTTAACTAATTTGTTCTCCACTACAAGCAATTCAGAGTGATTCTATACGGCCTGCTAGCTGGAATCTTAATCATGGAAACATGGGGATGGTGGTCATCAGAAGATAGATTACGTTATCCAACGCTAAATACAAAGAATAAAATTTCATCCTTATAACATTTAATACCAGTATATTTCTCTTTCCTTTTACCAGTCAATGTACTGGTCTCCTGATGTCATAATTTCCCTTTATTTGTGCAGGTGTCTTGACTAGTAGCCTGGTTGCTGAAATCACAGACGGTTCATCTAATGTGCGTGAAGTATGGAAGCTTGCATACAAGTAGTTAGTATTTTCTTCCTTTACCATTCAAATTATTCCTGGTTTATTTGGTCATCATTGCCCATGCATGGAAAAGGGGCTATTGGGGAAAGGGTGGCGATGGGTTGGCCATGTTGCCAGGTTATATCCAATTGACAGATCATTCGTGTCGGACGGGTTTTGGCTGTGGTTTTAGAAACCGTGTGGTCTGGAGAGAATATTGCCCTCCCCTATTTCATACTATACATTTCTGCTTTGACAGGGCTTGGTTTTGCTTGGTCAATTGTATTTTCTAGTAGGTAATGCAAATATATATAATTTTTCTCATTTTGTATTTATTTTGATTCCTAGAGGGATAATGTTTTTTTTTTTGTATTTATTTTTATTGGTGCAATGTATTGCTGGAACCAAACCCTTGGCAGATATTAAGAAATCAAAGAATGATCATGAAATGAAGGAAGTAATAGCAATTTTGTCTTATAATTTTAAATCCCAAAGCTCCTATAAATATGATAACCAACAGAAATGTGAATCCAACAACCATAAGATCGTATATAATAATCGTTTATGCAACCGATGATATCATTCTTTTTATTCCTTGTTAATTTAAAATGTTTTTATTACCTTATTTGCAAAAGGGGAGAATCCCATTTTGGGCTCTTGTTAATTATATAGCACTGCTATTATTAACGGGTAAAAATAGTTCCGCACGAATTAATATTTTACATTTGTTTGTTTTAAATTTTAAATTTTCCAATAGGATTTTATTTTACTTTATAGACAGAAGGTGAGGATAAAATATTGAATTTATTAATTAAATGATTTCATTTACCCACCTTCATCTGATATACTAGATGTGAATAAGGGACAAGAACAGCAGGGTAAAAGGTCAATAAATATGTTGTATCGTGAATTTTGACTTTAGATTATAACGATTATTTTTATTTATTTAGTTATTTCATAATCTCAATTTTTCTTTCCATGTTTGGTCTTTAATCTCAAGGTCTTTTGATTTTGACTCATTATTATAGAGTTTCCTCTTGTAAGGTTGAGATTGGTCAATTTATCGAAACTATAAATTAAAAACATTTATGTTGGCAAGAATATGCTTACATAGTTTAAAATACAATTTATTTAATATTTATTGACTGAACTTTTTTTTTTTATATTGTGTAGTTAAACAGTTGAACTAGCAGAAAATAGCAATTTTGTATTCATAAGAAAATGAATTATATTACGTAAATGAATCACGGAGCTGTAGAAACTACTCTGGTAAAAAAAAAGGAAACTATGAAATAAATTATAAAAACAAAACAGGAAATAATAATAAATAATTTCGTAAAACTATTATACTTTTATTTATTTCAAAGTATTTATCGTTTCCCAATTTTAGAGAAGGATTTGAAAGGCTCACTGATGGGGGACTTAAAAAGACAATTTATTGATTCATTTCATCTGAGTGCTACTCATTCATTCATGCCAATGTCAACTTATTCTGCAATCAATATTCGCCAACACAGCAGACAGGTTTCTTTTAGTGGGGGTTTGCAAACCATTTTCTTCCACTCTTCATATTTAGTACACAGAATACAAGTGGAACACGCACAAGATGACGTTTAAACGCTTAGCAAGTTTTAACACAGCAGTAACTAATGCATAATCGTAAACAACAATTAAACGTAGAGAAAGAGGTTATGTAGATAAGCTGAACATATTTATGCAATTGCAAACTGTCATCACAATAGCATTATTCATAGCAAATTAGGAGGTATTACAAGCATACGATAGATAAGTTTATTAAAGGGAAATAATGAGATGTCTGCTTAAATCCATATATCTGAAGTACAGTCACCACCAGGATATCTCATCTCATGGGCAAGAGAAGGACCATCAGGCTCAGTTCCAAAGTCCACAAAGAAGTTGGGGTTGATTTTCAGGCCACCTTTCTCAGTATCAACATCAATCTGTATTATGTGGGAGCCTTCCTTCACAAGATCTGGATAAAATTGTTTGTCCCATGTACTAAACAGTGAGTTGGTAGCATACAGCCGCTTCCCATCTAAACTCAATTGAATCATCTGTGGGCCCCCTCTCAACTTTTTCCCCTGAAAAGCAATGTGTTACTGTTAACATCACCCACTCACGAGATACATAGAGAACCTTGAATGTCCAAGAATAAGTCCATGCATCCAATAAAACAAGAGATTACATGCATAAATGACAAGATGCTACTGCTCACTTCGACATTGTTATTATGAATTATGAGATCTCGTTTCTGCACCTAAGTATATGAATTTGTCCAAAGATGATAACATGACACTATATTTGAATAAGTAACAGATTGAAACAGGCTACATTCGTGTGAACTTCTCATACGGAGAGACTGAGATCGGCAAAAGGGATCAAGTGCGAAGCAATTTATGTTTCTAGACATGCTGAACATGAAGTGACTACTAAACTACCTTTGCATACTTAAAACTTTCTTACACAGTCAAAACTAGAGCGTAAGTGTAGTTACGGTATCACTCAAAATGTCTACAAGAATCAATTAATTCACTCGAATTCTTTGCTAAGAAGTCATTCTTTTGAGCATATTTAGTACAATTTCGCTCTTTAAATCCATTATATACTAAGCAATTGTCATTAAAATTATATTTCACCATACTGAGCAAAACCTTGAATGTTATTGTGACGAATTTGATTGTATTTGTCCAACAACCAATTAACTCCTAACATGTATTATGCGACAAATTACTATTGCAATTACCTGAATCTCTGGAACTTCAGCTTGCCAAGTTTCACCATCATCTGTTACAGCTACTATAGGGCTTCCTTTCTGGATAAGTCCACCAACCCACACTTGTCCTGTCAGTTTAGGGTTTTTAAGGTCCTCGATGTTATACTGTCTTATATCCCCGTGAAGCCAGTTTACAAAGTATAGAAACCGATCATCAAGAGAAATCAGAAAATCAGTTATAAGCCCAGGCATTTCAGGAAGAATCCAGTTTTGCACTTTCAATGGTTTCACTGAAATGGAAACCTGCAAAATAAGCTTAGTTTATAAGTATTGAGGATATTGATATCTTGATTTTAAGTACATATACTGGCAGAAGAGAATAGATATTAAATATATATACCTCATGGCTCCAGGATCCATCTTGGGTCTGGAAGAATCGTATCATGTTACTGGTCAATGCACTCCCAACAAAGCCTGTATCTTTAGCAGGATCATGCAAGAACCTTATCTGCATTCAAGGTACATTAGAATAAAATATGTCAATTTTGCAAAATGGTTCACAATTACAACTTTAAGAGGAAAGTACAATCATAGTCAAATCACACAGGTAGTAAACAGGCTTCAAATATAATAAGTTAAAATAAATGCATCCTGCCCCGATTATGTTGACAACTTGCCTCTAAGGGTAGAAGCCCTGAATCACCAAGGTCCAATGTTTGTCTCAGTTCGCCCCCAGGCCACTTATATACATGGAGATGCCTCCCGTATAATCCATCAGATAGATGCTCTAAGTTAAAACCTTTTGTGAAAGCTCTAGGAGCACCCCATGATGTGCTAATCATAGTGTTGTGACGTGGCTGGTACCAAAAGTCATACCCAAATTGTGGACTGTGCCCTGGTTTCTCCCACCTAAGCAATGTGAAGTAGGATGCAACAAAATATAATTAGAAAATTTGATATTGAAATGCTAACTATACAAGTAGTTTCAAATAGAATTGCTTCTTGTCAATGATGTGACACATGTAATGTTTAATCCACAAGCAATTATTAATTAAATGATTCTATGTAAATAGTTTCACAAAACTCGTCATCTAAACTTTATTTTAACATATGATTGACCCCATTTTCATGTGTACGCTTGTTACCTAAATTCAGAATAAGCTTTTAAAACTAGAGTATCTGTCAGAGTCAGAGGAAGAATCACATTCAGGGATGAATAATGTTAGACACACTCAGGAAATTTTAGACACATCAAAAGCATTCTCTCATTTCTCAATCAAATATCTAGAATAGTACCTTCCTTTTACATTAAACTCTGAATCAAGAAGAAGAAATCCATTTCCTTCGGCATTTCCATCTTTATCTCCAAGACATGAGATCATGATTTCACCAGAAGCAAGGCAATGAGAAGTGTGTGGATAAGCTAATCCAGTCTTCTGTATGATATCGGAGGGCTCAACAACTTTGTGCAAAGATGGAGCCTTTGGATTTGTTTTCACATCAATCACATATATGCGACCTGATCTGGAAGATGATAAAAAAAAGTTGACTTTATAAGGTAATTAGAGAAATGGAGGAAAGAAATTAGGTAACTAAAATAAAGCTGATATCTTCCGTAAGAGTTTTTCGAATTCAACAAGTGGGCAAAACATATATTTGTTAGGAAAAAGGGAGGAAGACAAAAAGCAAAAAAAAAAAGAAAAACCCACCACACGGATTCTGTAATGTTTTCATGAATTTCAGTTTGGGGATGATATGTTAACCGAAGTCAATAAATGTATTCTAACTTTTCTGATAACTTCAATTCTCACGCAAAAGCCAAAAAAGGAAAAGAAAAGCAGAAAAAAAAAGGAGGATATGCTTTAAAGCAGAATGAAGAATCATCGTGCAGCATATATATAAACACGGTAAAGGGGGCTTGTTTTTCTCTATCAATGTTAGTGAGTGAAAGTAACGGTTTAGAGTGGTACACGAGGGCAGGTACGATGAGAAATCGTCGCCGTGCTGATGGATCTCCATAGCAAGAGCTGCAGGAATTCCAGCCAGTGTGATGCAACTCATCACCTAAATAAGGAACAGGCAGCCTATGGATGACTTTGGAATAAGTGGGGGAGTTTGGATCCACATCGACTGTGGCCAAATAGTCAGGCTTCTCAATTCCCGTTCCTGAATCGTATTGTATTCAATCCATAATCAGCGAACAGGCTTTGAATACATAGACGTTAATGGAAGAAGATGAATGAGATACCTGAGTAGACAGCGGTGACATAAATGAGAGACTCTCGTGGACCAGACATGGCTTGGAGAGGGGAAGCGTAGCCTGGCCCTGTTTTGCAGCATCCATGGCCGTTACTCGCTTTCTCCTCTCCCACAACACCATCCTCCAACGCCCTACTCATCTTTCTCGCTCCCTCAGATTGACTGCTCCTCGGAGAAGATGATGAGATAAATATAGGGAAAGGGGACTCAGAATTCACGTGGTGCAAATCAAATAGGATTGATTAGAACACACAACACAGCGCTACGCACAGACATTACATTACATTACCTTAGTGTTTGGTATGCACTGAGTCAGCAAAATAGTCTTTGTACGTATTCGTATCGAATCCTGTCCAGGTTGGATGTATCACAAATCTCAATGCATTCATTCCACACCGCATCACTCTTTCTCTCTCTTTAGACTTCTCTCTTCATACTTTGTGGAATTCTCCATACATTTATTATACATTATCCCATTCCATTCTAACTGCTGAATCAGTATTATTATTATTATTATTATTCATTCATTCAAATAATTAATTTCACAAACAATACATTAACTACTGTTGTAATTTAAATTGTGCGCGGTAAGAATAGCTGTGCGTTTATTTTAAATAACAGATTTATATTAACTACATATTTTTAAATGAATAAATTACATTGTAATTCTGATTTATAATAATTAAATATTTTAAATATATGAATATATTTAAATATTTATCATAAATAATTAATACATTGATCAAATGCTATCTTTAATTATTGTACATTACAAAAAATATATTAAAATTGAAGTTAGAATTAAAAATATTAGAAATGATATATTAAAAGAAATAACCAAAAATGTTAATCGAGGAAAAGCAATTAAAAACATGTCCGCTAAAAAATAACTAAAGACTCTCATTCAACATATTACAATTTATATAGTTTTTTTTTCCGAGGGTTAAAATCAACTTCAGAATTGTTTGTGGAAGTCAAATATAATTAAACTTTTATCTTTTATGATTTTCTTATGGAACATTATTTTTTAATAGTTATTCAATAAAAATATAAAGTTAGTTATTTTAAGTAGTACGGATACTTTCAACCAACAGAAATAAGATATTCTAAATTTAAAATGTATAAATACTTATTTTATATTTTCAACTCATATTTATTACTAATATAGTAATTAGTTGTCGATTAAACTAAACTATAAAATTATAAAAAGTTATATTTCCAAACGTTGTGAAGTACAATTTGTATTTTACGTATAATGATAATAATACATGGACCATCATTGTTAGTAAAAGTTTAGCATGTCGTTAATTTTAGCTTCATTTACCCTTTTTTTTTAATTTCATGTTACTTTTTATTATAAGATATTTATGTACTTATTATAGTATTGAATTGCTTTCTCAGTTAAGAGATTGCATTTAAGGTATAAATATTCAATCCTTATCTCATCTTTCATTGAAAAATTATAAAGACGACTTTTTTCTTCAACGAAGTTCTTTGAAGATAGGACGTGCGGTGTTTTATATTACTTCTAAACATAAAAAAACAAAAGAAAAATAGTTTTGTCTGATCGAGATAAAAAAATGTGGGGTTGAATGGAATTGTGGTGTCGTGTGGAGATGAACTTGGAGCAACATTTTTCTAATCAAACAAATAGCAAAGCGTACGAAAGATTGACATATGCCCATAATACGACAGATTTTTTTATTTTTTATTTTATGTTCAACAGTATTTGGTTAAACTTTATTTCAATTTTTACAACTTAAAATTATTGATTTTAATTTTGACATTTTCAGTTTTTCTCTTTCACGCTTCTCTAACGCAAATAAGGTGGAGAAGGGAAAGGTTTGATGAAGTCATGATTTAATCTACAACTTCAGCTTCATCAGATTCCGGGTTTCTCATTTATACTCTCCAATTATCTCTAATGCCAAGCATACCAACGGGGTAGCTGTTCCCATTTCCGTTTCTAATTCGGGATGGATTAAAAATTAGGTTTTTATCTCTATTTGTATTGGATTTCGAATTTTTACACTCTTATTTTCAATTTATATTATTTAAAAAAAATCATTATATTTATAATAAATTAATTTTACTAATTTTATGAATTTTTTATACATATATATATATATATATTTATAATTTTATAATAATTATTAATTAAATATATATTTTAATTTATTATATTTATATTAATATATATATATAATATTTAATCATTATTTATTTATATATATAATATTTATTTATATTATTATTATTATTATTATTATATATTCACATATTTAAATATTTATAATAATAATAATATTATTGTATATTTAAACATTTTATTATATATAAATAATAATTTAATTTTTTTTAAGTTATTATTTAAAAATATAAAATATATAATTTATAAAGAAATATTTAATAAATTAATTTTTATTTAATTAATTTGAAATAATAAAAATTTAAATTATTAATTTTCTTTTATTTTTTAAAATATAATTAATTTATTAAGATAAAATTTAATATATAATAAATAAAAATAATAACATCTAAAAATATGATATAATAAAATCTAATAAATATAAATTATAAATAAAAAAATATTAATTATTAATGATATTTATGTAAAATATTTTAAAAAAATAAAAAAGAAAAAAATTAATTTTATATTTATTAAATTGGTTAAAAAGATAAAAAAAATATATAAATTAAATAAAGATTAAGAAAATAAGAAAAAAAAGAGAATAATACAATAAATTAATTAATATAAAAGATTAAAAATAAAAAAATAAAAAAATAACATATAAAATATAAAAAAAATAATCTTATATATAATATAAAAAAAATATTTTTAAAATATAAATATTTTAAAATTTAAATTTAAATATAAAATTAGGGTGTAAAAATTATATTACCATATCTATTTTTTTAAACTGAGAAAAACCCTAATCGTCCCTCCTCTGGGTGAACTCGATTTTTTCAAAATTTAGAAAAAAAAATTAAAATAAACAAAATAAGAAAAAAAATGAAAACTCAATTTTTAACTAAAAACAATTAATGGTACGTGGCAATCTGAACTCAGTTTGAATGTCACTCGCTCAGTCTCTGCAATCTCAACTATGCTCGGTGGCAAGGCAGAGCCCCTCCCTGGCGAAGAAGATTCATGCACAAATCATAAAAGCTGGTCTCAACCAACATGAACCCATCCCAAACACACTTTTAGATGCATACGGCAAATGTAGTCTTGTCGAAGACGCACTTCAACTGTTCAATGCATTGCCTCGCCGAGACCCAGTCGCATGGGCCTCCCTCCTCACCGCCTGCAACCTCGCCAACCGCCCTCACCGCGCTCTTTCGATCTCACGCTCCCTTCTCACCGCCGGCTTCCACCCCGACCACTTCGTCTTCGCCTCCCTCGTCAAAGCTTGTTCTAACTTAGGTGCTCTTCACGTGAAACAAGGGAAACAAGTGCATGTTCGCTTCTTACTCTCACCATTCTCCGATGATGACGTTGTCAAGTCATCTTTGGTCGATATGTACGCGAAATTCGGCTTGCCCGATTACGGGCGTGCTGTTTTCGACTCCATTTCTTCGTTGAATTCGATTTCTTGGACTGCCATGATATCTGGGTATGCGCGGAGTGGACGAAAGTTTGAGGCTTTTCAAATGTTTCGTCAAACTCCGTATCGAAACTTGTTTGCTTGGACTGCTTTGATTTCCGGGTTGGTGCAGAGTGGGAATGGTTTTGACGCGTTCCACATGTTTGTTGAAATGCGGCATGACGGGGTTAGTGTTACAGACCCGTTGGTTCTTTCCAGTGTGGTTGGTGCTTGTTCTAATCTAGCTCTTTGGGAGCTGGGTAAACAGATGCACGGCTTGGTTATAGCCCTTGGCTATGAGTCTTGCTTGTTTATAAGCAATGCACTTGTAGATATGTATGCCAAATGCAGTGACCTTGTTGCTGCAAAGTATATCTTCTTTGACATGTGCAAAAAGGATGTGGTTTCTTGGACTTCAATAATAGTTGGCAGCGCCCAACATGGGCAGGTTGAGGAGGCTCTGGGTCTGTATGATGGCATGGTTTTGGCTGGACTTAAGCCAAATGAGGTGACCTTTGTTGGGTTGATTCATGCATGTAGTCATGCTGGCCTGGTTAGCAAGGGCAGGGCTTTGTTCAGGTCTATGGTTGAAGATTACGGAATTACGCCCTCCCTTCAGCACTATACTTGTTTGCTCGATCTTTTAAGTCGATCAGGGCACCTTGATGAGGCTGAGAGTCTCATTAGAACTATGCCAGTCTACCCTGATGAACCTACTTGGGCTGCTTTGCTTAGTGCTTGCAAGCGCCATGGTAACACCCAGATGGCAGTCAGGATTGCTGATCATCTATTAAATTTAAAACCAGAAGAACCTTCTTCTTATATTTTGTTATCTAACATATATGCCGGAGCTGGTATGTGGGAGAATGTTTCTAAAGTGAGAAAGTTAATGATGGTCATGGAAGTTAAAAAGGAACCAGGCTATAGCTGCATTGACTTGGGAAAGGAGAGCCATGTGTTTTATGCTGGACAGACTTCTCACTCAATGAAGGATGAAATTATAGGTTTAATGAGGGAGTTGGATGCAGAGATGAGGAAAAGGGGCTATGCTCCTGATACTAGCTCGGTTTTACATGATATGGATCAACAGGAGAAGGAAAGACAACTCTTCTGGCATAGTGAGAGGTTGGCTGTGGCTTACGGACTTCTAAAGGCTGTTCCAGGGTCTGTTATACGTATAGTGAAAAATCTTCGTGTTTGTGGAGATTGTCATACTGTTCTGAAACTCATCAGCACTATAACAAGTAGGGAAATTTATGTCCGAGATGCCAAAAGATATCACCATTTTAAGGATGGCAACTGTTCTTGCAATGACTTCTGGTGACTTTAGAGTTGTGATTTAAATTTCTACAAATTTAGTGCTTATTTGTTTGCAAGTCTAAGACTTGCGTGTATGAAGATTTTCAGGTCAAATACCAAAATATAGAAAAAACACAGAAGTTAGAGTTTGTTGTTTCCAGATTTACTAGGATCGATTTTCATCTCGTTAAACAAAACATACTGATAATGCCGTTTAGACCTTAAGCATTATCTTTGTCAATTGACCAGTGATTTCATCGCCACTTGGCATGTAACCTTTTAAATAGTAAGTAACCATAAGAATACACAAAGAAATGAATAAACAAGAATTCACGTTTAAGGATTAACATGTCGAATTTATGAAGGGTGAAAAGCAAATATTTAGTAAGTAATTAAAAGGCTGGCTATGAGAAAAATAGAATATCATAATACTAGTATTATCTATATACCATTAATCAGTAAATGAATGATATGAGGAGACAGACTTACATTCTAAATTTCTTGTCCGTTTAATACTTCCGTCTTTATCTCCGTTGTTTGTGTCAATTTTTACTGCATTTTTTACTAAAGAAAATGAATAAAAAATGAAGGAAGACCTGAGAATTGTTAGAAAACAAGGCGAGGGAGGAAAGCATGAAGCTGCAGTAATGGAAAAGAGGTTGACAAGGACAGGAGTTTTGGGGTAGACCTAGAAGTCCGAAGTTCTTTTAGGAACTCAGTAGAGCTGTAATTGCATGGGTATCGTAATACATATAAATAGACAGATGTTAATGAGTTCTTACCCTATTACGCACATTGTGGCTCACTGCATCATAGCCTGAGTTCTTACCTTGTTCCTTTCATACACACATATGATCCAGTATGAAACGAAATGAACTTTTGTAACGGTGAGTGGATTCACTTTGGGAGTGTTGAAAGGCATATAACATAATAGCTATTATTGTAATGCATTAAATTTAAATGCTAGTGAATAACATAATCCGTTCTTGTGAGAATATATATAGCAAACGTATTGGCACATTAAATTTTAATGAAAGAAACAGTATTCTCTAAGAGGCAAAATAATTGTTTCGAAACAGAGAAGGTTTTAAAGGATTTTCCTACTTCCAATATACATATACGTCGGCATTAGGAACTAAGTTTATTTGTATAGATTTTCTATTTGGTCCCTGTATTGAGCCACAACTTTATCCCTTCGAATTTTCATGGTGGGTGTCATTAGCCCATTATCAATCTGTCATTGTAGTAAACATTAATCAGATACTTTAATGAGCCATGTAAATAATATATAGATAAGACTTTGAAGTTTAATCTAACCGTGAAGGGGTCATTTACGATGAGGACTGGTCCAATTTGAAATGGAGACTCTGATGTCCTGCATGACATAGACAGGAAAGAAGGAGGGCGGGGTATCAAAACAAGTTTAGGGACAAAAAAGAAATGGGAGTTTAAGAAAGAATTTTTTTTTCAATAAAATAGATGTGTAAAGACTTCATCATACAAAATGTAATCCAACCAGATTGGCACCTCAGTTCGTATCAATCATACGGCACACCCAAATATCATTAGAGAAATAAATCAAACAAAAACGAGTGGGAAGACTAAACTAAACTCACTCAAACTTGAGAAAATCTGTAGTTAAACTACTAAAGAAAGAAAACTACTTAGTTAAAGCCAAATACTTATTTCTTTCCCTTGTTTTTGGTTCTGAAAGAGCAGAACTATGTAAACCAATTTGACTTCTCAAGGAATCTAGTTACGGGAAGTCTAGGTTATGAAGGTAAAACCTTGTCATGGTTGATAAAAACATTACAAAGAAAAAGCTGCATCAATTTTCACACAGCAGCATAAATTACGTTAATCTTTTCCTCATCTATTGCTGCAGGCCATATAAAGGAAAGAAATTCACATTGCTCATATTCGAACAATTAAAAAAGTGTATGACAGATCACAGCTAGTGTTGAGAACACAATATGGAAGCTTATGTCTTTTGATTAAAATAAAAATAAGTTTAGTGAGAGGTGAACAACCCTAACCTAAAAGTAGTTTCTAATTTCTATTTTTTCCTTCCATTTTTCTAATTTCATTTTTTTTTCTCCTATTCTAGGCTTCTATTTTTTTTCCTCCTATTTTACACGCATTTTAATATGAGCATTACAATTCAATTTTCATTAATTATTTTATTTTCTTAGATGTAAACTTTCACACTTATAAAATCCTTTTTAGATTAAATTCGTAACAAAAGAAAAATTTAATCCAAGTAGGATTATATCAGTGTTTTCATTCATTTTAAATAACTGTGAAGATTTGCATCTTAGAGCATTATAATGAATGTCAATTAAAATAGAACAAGCAAGGTGGGATGAGAAATCTGGCGCTTAGAGCTAATTGAGTGATGTGGGACTTGAAAGGTAGCCTTGGTAAATGAATTGGGCTTCACATTGGCCCTATTCTTCTTCCAGGTTTGTGAGATTCATGGTAAGTCATAGTAGAGCCAAAGTAAAACCCAAAGTCGAAATCTCAACTTAAAGTGTACAAGCCCACCCCAAAGATAAAAGAAAAATAATAATGAAATATGCTGGTAATGACACATTCATGCATTCATCATAAAGAGACATGTAAACCAAAAGATTAAAATGAAATGGACAACTAGAGAATGTTTATCTGTGACAAAAAGGTATCACTCAAGCGTAAAGAAAAAATTTACCATACAGTTGTATGACTAGCCTTGTATGAAACTATATGTTGAGCTGTGAAAAGCCAACAAGGAAATAAATTCAATTTGGCTGAAATGAAATTGTGGTATTGAATGAGTAGACACATTCTAGACAAAATAGGATTAGAACATGGGTATGGATAGCACCTTTAGCATATGGTAAAAACTTATCGTAAGTGTAGTTTGGGCACGAATGGAAAAGACCTCTACAGACATCTCCGTAAAGAGTGTAGGTTAGTCGAGGGTAGCATAATTGCTAGAGGCAGAGAGAGATTGAGAAAAACTACAAATGAAACCCTGAAGAGAAATTAGAGTCAATAATTCATATATGAAGATATTTAATGATTCAGTACCATGATATTATTTTATTCATATAGCTGATTGCAACTAGTGAAAAAGGGTTTGAATGTTAATTGTTGCATTCCACATTTGACAAGGGAAAGCGTGACCCCAAAATCTAAGATGTAATTTCTTTCTCGACGAAGTCTACTTTTGACCTCATACTTCTTTTGCAAGGCGCTTGCAACTTTCTAAACCACTTGAGTGTAACCGAAGGAGATTCTATTATAAGATACAAAATATTTGTTCAGTTTCCTATGTGTCACACTAATAACAATGCCCTTCTCATAAACCTAAAGGTTAAGTATAACTGTTTTCTAGTAAAAAAATGTTTTTCTTATAAACACATTAATAATAACATGCCATTGCAATATAAAGGCAACAAATTTCTTTGGAATTCATTACAACAAGCAGAAGAGAGATACGATCTTACCATGTCCTTAATTCTTTATATATTAGGCTGGTCACGTTTTCCTGACTGACATCTGAACTGTTGGAATCTATAATTGATGAGTCCCTTGCTGCCTTTAAGACTTCTTCTTTGTTAGGAACAATGATAGCCCCTAGACGTCGCTTATCCTATTTGTTAAAGTAGTCATCAAAGAAGTAAAATTATTGCATTTTGTAATACCTGACTGAGATGTATTTCAATGTAGGTCGTCAGCCATAAAAGTTTAGACAGCAAGATTTAAATTCACCTGTCCAATAACAACTATTTGATGTATGAGGCTACTCCTCATGGCAGCTTCTTCAAGCTCTCCCGGTTCAACATTTTCACCTTTTCTTGTTGAAACATGTGATTAGTATGGGAAAGACTGATGACCAACAAGCATTTTATGCAGTGTAAAAATCAAAGTAGTAGTAAGTAAAAAATGGTAAATAATCCGTAAAGCCTCACAGCAAACGTATGACAGCCAAGAAAGCCAATATACTTAAATGCAAAAAGATCAAAACCATAAAAGTTAACAAGTGGCTAATTTCCATCCTGGGCAAGAACATTAATTTAAAGGTTTAGACATAGCAAATAATACAATGAAGAAAATTAAAAACACAGTTACCAAAACTATTTATTAACTTTTTGTTGATGAAAAAAGTATTGATTGCAATTTCTTAAACATATGTTTGTGAATTCTTTGATTGTTTTGATCTAAAAGGTTAAACGAATAAGAACTCACGTAGAACTTCATCGAAGTATAATTAAAATAGTTCATACATACATGGATACATAATATAAAATAGATAACTTGTTAAACAGATTATTAACTTCTCTTATAATTTGCTAAACTATAACTTTGTTTTGAACACAAATATGCACATAAAAAGAGAAAAGATAAAATATAATAATTTTATCAATATATCGAATAAATCATAAAGTATGTAGAAAAAAAATACAATTATAAAATGTATGTGCATTAGTTTTAATATTCTATATACTATAGCAAAACTATGTTCCATACTGACTAAATAATGTCTTCTTATTCTTGTGCAGTAACCTAAAATAAATATTAAAAAATAATATGCTTGTTTTCAAAATGATTTAGTGGCTGTAAATTTGGTTAGTCTTCAATTTTCTCTTCACATCATAAACAATTTCATATAATCCAAGCCAAGCAGACTTAACCAAATTTAAAATCGTATAAACCCTTCAAATCATTAACACATATATATATTAAAAAAAAAAAAAAAAAAAAAAAACTTGAAGAATGCATACCATTTAAATAGAAAACAAAAGCACAAATGGACAGAAACGTTAAATCTGTTCAGCTACAAATGCCAAGTTTACATTCACTAACAGAGTAACAATGTCCATTATTCACGTCAAATAATCAACAGAATCATAAAATTAATCGAAAGCACACATAAGTGTATAACACACATGGCAAAGGAGGAAACGTTTATTTATAGAATTCAAATATCAACATACACGAACGTATGTTCTACCTGTAGAAAGCACAATAGTGTCTTTAGCACGACCATCCACAACAATTACTCCGCCGGAATTTCGACTCCGCCCAGTTGAATGATGCGGAACAATCCAACCAATATCCCCAGTATTCAGCCAGCCATCCCTATCTAAGACCTGATTTGTAGCGGAAGGATTCTGATACAAGAATAAGACATGTAACTGACACAATTTGATCCAGCATATGTCAACAAGATCACGTACAAGTGATTGTAAACTGTTGAGTAAGCAACACTTCTTGATTACTATGACCAGTAATGTATTTATTTCATGACAAAACAGAATTATTCATCTGAGGAACAATTTCAAAGCACTCATTAGTGAGCCTTGTATAAGTCCTTGCTCTGATAATTAAGTTTGGAAGACAATAAAATATTTACAAACGAATAAATCTAAAAACCTAAAACTCCATTATAAAAAGAGAGAAAAATGATGGGAATTTTTAGGGTTATTGTTTATATGTATTTGTGATATATGAAATATATCTCATATGGGTATATCTTTATCTTTCATTCATGTACTTATATACTCTATATATAGAGAGAAAAATATGATAAAATTGTTGTCAAACAAATATCTAAATAAAACACTTTGTATATTATCACTTGATGTGTTTTTGCAATGAGTGGTACATGGTCAATTTATAGGCCTCTGGACATGGCCTCTTAACTACATGCATTCAATACAACCACTACCTCTCAACTACATACATTCAATACAACCACTACCTCTCAACTACATGCATTTAATGTTTACCTAACAAAATCCTCCCATAAACTTAAATGTTTTTCTTGTCATTCATTCCAAGCATCTTCTTATTGTTCTCGAACAGAGTGGTTGACAGTGGTTTCGTGAACATATTTGCAGCTTGTGCTCGGATTCTGACATGCGCTAACTCCACATTTCCTTCTTTCACTTGTTCTCGGATGAAGTGAAACCGAATATCAATATGCTTGCTTCTCTCATGATTGACCGAGTTCTTTGCCAATTCAATGGCCGACTTGTTATCCACTCGAATCACGGTCTCTTTTTCTTGCTTCAACTCCAGCTTGCTTAGAAGGTTTCTAAGCCAAACTGCATGACAGACACTCTAGGATGCTGCAACGTACTCGGCTTTGCAAGTGGACAACGTTACAATGAGCTGTTTTTTTGAAAGCCAGGTGAACACTATGTTTCCCATGAAGAATACATATCCAAACGTGATTTTTCGGTCATCAACATCTCCACACCAGTCACTATCCGAGTAGCCTATTAGTTGGTAATCATCCGTCCTAGCTCCTAGTATATATTAGGCCAAGTGACATTGTTCCTCTCATATACCTTAGAATTCTCTTTAGTGCCTTCCAATGAGTATATCTTGGCTCCTCCATATACCAACTTGTTATTCCAACACTTAGCATTAAATCTGGTCTGGTATTTGTAAGATACCTAAGACTTCCAGTCAGACTTCGGTATTTGCTTGCATCAACTCGGTCTCCATCTGCATACTTAGAAAGTTTTGTACCAGGTTCCATAGGGGTGGAAACTGGGTTGTAACTTGTCATCTTAAACTTCTTCAAAACCTCCTCAACATATCTTTCCTGCTACACAAAGATGTCATCCTTTCCTTGAACAACTTTTAAACCAAGGAAATACTTCATAAAACCCAAGTCAGTCATCTCAAACTCCTTCTTCATCACTTCTTTAAACCCTTCAATCAGCTCGACATTATTTCCCATGAAGATAAGGTCATCAACATATAGAACAACAAACATCACATCTTCTCCTTTCTTCTTTATGTATAGAACATGTTCATAAGGACACTGCTCATATCCATTCCTCTTTAAGTAAGTGTCAATTCTTTCATTCCATGCTCTTGGAACTTGTTTCAAGCCATAAAGTGTCTTCTTCAATCTCAGCACTTTCTTCTCTTTGCCTCTTCGCATGTATCCGAGTGGTTGTTCAACATATACTTCCTCCTCCAAGACTCCATTCAGAAATGCCGACTTCACGTTCATCTGCAAGATTGTCCATCTGTGTTGAGCTGCTAAGGAAATCAGCATCTAATTGTTTCCATCCTCGTTACTGGGGCAAATACTTCGTCGTAGTCTATTCCTTCCTTCTGCTTGTACCCCTTCACTACGAGTTGAGTTTTATATCGCTCAACTTCTCCTTCAGCATTTGTCTTCTTCTTGTATACCCACTTTACGCCGATAGACTGTGCTCCTTTGGGCAAATCAGTCAGCTCCCACGTGTTGTTGTGTTCTATTGCCCCAATCTCCTCATCCATTGCCTTTTGCCACCTTTTCTCCTACACGGCCTCTTCAAAACTTAAGTCTTCTGAATCTGCCAAGAAACATACAACATGCACTTCATCAGTGGAGTTGTATATATCTTGTAAACTTCGCGCTTTGGGCTGTAGAGGTTCATCTTCTTCATCAAAAGTTTCATGATCTCTCACACTATGTGGTATATCAACTTCCAAGTTTCTACTTCCTATAGACTCCTTCTACAGTTTGTTCCAACTCCACTCGCTCTCTTCATCAATTTGAACAGCTCAACTCATAATGACCTCCTTAGTTATTGGGTTAAACAACTTGTACGCCTTGGTTTTTTTATCATACCCAATAAACACGTACTTTTTACTTCTATCTTCAAGCTTGGTCCTCTGTTGAGCTGGAACATGACCATAAGCTATGTTGCCAAACACTTTAAGGTGAGACACACTCGACTTTCTTCCATTCCAGACTTCTTGCGGTGTCTTCTCATTTAGTTTAGCATGTGGACATCTATTTTGCACATAGATGGCACATTGCACTGCTTCTGCCCAGAACTCCTTTGACACGTTCTTCCTTCTCAACATTGTTCGAACCATGTCAAGAATGGTTCGATTCTTCCTATCGGCAACTCCATTTTGTTGGGGAGTATGGTGCTGTAAAAAATCTCCTTATCCCTTGCTCCTCGCAATACTTCATGAGCTCGGATGAAATGAACTCGCCTCCTCAATCAGACCTAACAGATTTGATAGGTATGTCTGTCTCTTTCTCAACCATTACTTTAAATCTCTTGAACACCTCAAACACCTCGGATTTTTCTTTCAAAAGATATACCCAACTTTTTCTTGAAAGATCATCTATAAAAGAAATGAAATACCTTTTTCCACTGAAAGACTCAGGGGTAATCAATCCACAAAGATCTGTGTGAATCAATCCAAGTTGTTTCTTTGCACGGTACTCGGCAGTCCTCGGAAATGAGGTCCTCGGATGCTTCCCGAGCACACACTCTTCACAAAATTTCTTTTCAAATTCCATAGACAGGAGTCCTCCCACCATCTTTCTTTACTAACTCGGTCAGCCCGCCAAAATGCAAGTGGCCAAACCAAAAGTGTCACATCATTGCTTCATTCTTCACGTCAAGTTTCAAGCACCTCTCTTGGACTATCTTCAAGTCCAGCTTGTACATTCTGTTCTTCATTTCTATTCGAGCAATCAAACGATCCGACTTGTTCTTCAAGTATAGTACTCGGTCTTTCATCAAAACCGAGTAACTTTTCTCCATCAGCTGGCCCATGCTCAATATGTTGCTTTTGAGATCGGATACATAGTATACGTCTCTGATTTCTCCAACTCGGCTATTCTTCTGTAGGTACCAGATTGTACCTCGGCCTTTTACAGCTACATTTGATGCATCTCCAAACGATACGTGTCCGACCTCAACTTTAGTGAGTTCCTTAAAAAGGTTCTCGTCCCCGCACATGTGGTTACTTGCTCCTGTATCAAGATACCAAATCGAGTTGTCAAAACAGCTCGGACTTAGCTCGACACCCGAACTTCTTGACATCATCATTACTCCTTCCTCAGCGTCCTCAGAAAGGAGGTTTGTTTCCTTCTTGCTCTCAGATCGGCAGTCTTTCGCGAAATGCCTCACCTGAATAGCAGTCCTTAGCAAAATGACCGTACTTCCCACATTTAAAGCACTCAACTCTGGAATTGCTTGACTGACTACCTTAGCCTCTACCTTGTCCTTGGCCGCGCCAGTTTTGTTGACCGACTTGCTCCTTACCTCTTTCATATCCTCCTCTACCTCTACCACCTCGGCTTTGAGTGTTTTGAGCATAAGGAACCTTCTTCTCCTTTAAGGTTGCCTTTGCTTGGAGTGCTTGATCTAGAGACTCCTCTTTCTTCTTCCTTCTCCGCTGCTCATGCACTTCAAGCAACCCAGCAAGATCTTCTACCGAGAGCACCGACAAATCTTTGGACTCCTCTATTGCACAAACAATATTCTCAAAGTCGCAGTTAACGACCTTAAGATTTTCTCCACCACTCGGCAAGTGGGTAGTGTCTCTCCATTTTTTCCGAGTTGATTCACCACGGTCTCAACACAAGAGACGTACTCGACAACCCCTTCGACCTCTTTCATCCTCATGCTTTCAAGCTCGCCTCTGAGAGTTTGAAGCCTGACTTACTTCACGCGATTATCCCCTTTATATGTCTTCTCCAGAATATCCCACGCTTCTTTTGAAGATTTAACATTTGTTATCTTCTCAAAGCCGGACTCATCAACAGCTCGGTACAACACCTACAAAGCCGTTTTGTCCTTTACCCGTGTTGCTCTTAATGCAGCAAGTTGGGCAATCGTCTGCTCTTCAATATTCTCTGGTTCTTGATGCCCATTTTCGACCACATCCCATACTTCCTGGGAACCAAGGAGAGCCTTCATTTGCAGACTCCAATTATCATAGTTTCCGCTTTTCGATAACTTTGGCAGAGGCATGCTGTTAGCTAAGTTGGTCATCTCGAACAAACTCTCTAAATCTCAAACACTCTCTCTAACGCACTCGGACACTCAGGCTCTCAAGCTCTAATACCAATTTATTGACAAACAAGTATCTAAATAAAACACTTTGTATATTATCACTTGATGTGTTTTTGCAATGAGTGGTACATGGTCAATTTATAGGCCTCTGGACATGACCTCTCAACTACATGCATTCAATATAACCACTACCTCTCAACTACATGCATTTAATGTTTACCTAACAAAAATATAAAATATCAACAATATCTCAATTATATCTATTTAAATCAAAATAATAATCTAGTATCTTTTTTTCCTTATTCTAAACAATAATAAAAATCTCTTAATACCTAAATTAAATAAAAGATAATAAAAAAAATATCCCAACAGAAGCCTCTATTGTAATAAAGATATGCATATTTTTATATCCACACATGTGCAACAAATTGTTATATTTTCATCAACATGCTCTCTATCTGTCTCATAGATGTACAAACACACATGTCGACCCAAGGCACAACATGATTGAATTTTGATAAAGTAGATTACCTTGTAGTATCCCTTCATCAATTGTGGACCTCGGACTTTCAAAATTCCCTTTGAACCAGGTGGGAGAACTTCATCAGTCTCAGAATCTATGACTTTGAATTCTGTATGCTTAATTGGATGCCCAGCAGACCCAATAACCTTCCAAAGATTCCATTGATAACGTTTTCAGATATAAAGCACACAACTCTTTGCAGACACAAATTAAAATCTAATTAGATGAATGCAAATTATGTAATTATTATGAGTATCTGGCTCTAGATAGACTGTTGACAAAAGAAAATTGTTCAGTGTGTTTGCTAGTAACAGATTAAGTAGAATGGGTATCTTAAATATATATATATATATATATATATATATATATATATATATATATATATATATATATAAACATTAAAAATAATTATAAACAAAAGAAATGCAGATTAAGTAGGCATCTCCACACCTCATTTAGTAGATCTATCATTTTACCCTTTTTGTTTCTTAAAAAACCGAAAAATTTACCATTCTTTAAAGGCACAGTAACAAGTTTTGGTAACAGAAGGGAAAAACGACATGTTAAATTGACAATACTTGTCTTGCATGATATTAATGCATTTGATAAATCTATTGCTTACATTACAACTAAGCCGTCGAGCAGCAACAACCGGTGAAGTTTCTGTTAAACCATATCCATTCTGCACAGTCACACCAATAGCCTGCATATTACTTTTAAAAAATATATGAGAATAATGTCAAAAAGAAAAACCGAGCCTATCAGTTACATGTTTGAAGTATCAAACCTCAAAAAATCTATCCACGTGAGAGGATAGGCTACCACCACCACTTATTCCAGCCTGCATAGTGCCAGAGGGTTTAGCTTATCATGGGCAGAAAAGTCATCCATTCCAAAATCATGAATAAGTGACACAATGCAGTATGTTGCTAGACAAATAATTTATATCAAAAAATGGGTGATAGTGGACAATCACTAATATTTACAAAAGGATTTGTTGCTCTTTCAAGGGTAGAATTTACACGCAATTACCAACTTTCAAAAGGGAATCCATGCTTGGTTTGTATAAGTATAATAGCATATCCCAAGAAAATTGTTTGCATTTACTTAACCAAACAGACTGTACCATAGTTACATCCATCCATCTTCCAACACTACAGGTCTTGCATCTATTGCTGTTTGCAGCTTAAGAAGACTTTCACCATAGTGGAAGTATCATCCATGAGGTACAAAAAGAGAAAAGTGAGAAAACCTTAGAGTAAATTGCACTAACCACTTAATTGTTTGAAAAAACATTATACTGACACCCGTATCCATTACACAACCCATCCATAAACATTTGAAAAATATTAGACTTTAGTTCCCCTATAAGAGAGGTTGTTGTAAATGTTAAAAAAGAAAACGAAGAGTTAATTGAATTTCATGAAACTTTAGCAGTGGTCAGTATCAGTTAATTAAGCCAAAAGAAGGATAGAGGTCCTTTTTTCGAAGGGCAGTAAGAATATGCAGAAAATCTTTAACATGAATGTTTCACAGTATTGTTTTGCTTATACTTTTAAGTACAATTATTGCATAGCAACTTCATAGTGCAAATTTTATTAGCTTACACCACTCATTCCCAATTGAGATATGCTAACAATACACTCTTTGACACACTATATTTGGTTTCACTAAATCATGTTGGTCGCACTCCCTCTTTAGCGGTCCCACATTAATTTCACCAAACAATAAAGACAGTGTTGCTAGCATTTTTATTCTCGATTTCCTTCTTATTTGGGCCCTTTGTTAAACTGGAGTGTAAAACTGTGAACCTTGAGTTGAACCCCCTACTGAACAATCCAAAATAAAATAGAAGTAAATGTAACTGCATTGCTGCCATTAATACGTCCTACAAATATTGTTTTTGGAATATACACTTCATTTAAAAGTTAATTTACTGAGAGAATTATGAGTAGGATCATGGTGTAAAATAGTAACAGATGTAAAGAATTGACAGAAATATTATTAAGAATAAACTTCCATAAATATACAACATTATATTTCCTCACAAAAAGTATTTTCAATTTAAGAATAACTATCCACTCAACATTAACTAAATTCATAAGAAATTACACATTAAGAGCACTTTAAACTTCTTTAACCAAGTGCTCACTTACTCGTAGACTGGAATTATTTTCCCCAAACTTTTTGCAAGAGGCAACCAGCCAGTATGGCACTCCACAGAAAGAGACAGAATAAAATAAACACATAAACTATTTCATTATAACAATATATTTAAGAATAAAATACCTTTGAAATTCCAATAGCTGAATAAATTTTACTATAGACCAGTTTCTTCGCCAGCAAATGAACTGGAAATAATATTGTGGCAATAACTCTAGCCCATAAGCAATCCAACATTGAATGTAGATACAAAGGCGGCTTTTGATCCTTTGTTAGACATTTTCCCTACAAATATTCAAAATTTATTAAAAGCAATATGTCAGGGCAGATTAGGACTATTTACATTTACATATTTAATCTAATTTGACAAGTTCTATTGATGGAATGATTGTCAAGAGTGAACCAGAGAGGAGGTGACTATGATCAGAAATAAATTTGAGAGTAACACCCTAAATTTTTTTTTAAGAAATACAACCGAACATATTATCCACAAGAGCGTAAAAATATCATTCTAGTCCCTTGATAGAAAGCACAAAATGGTTCCTTTTTAGGACCAATGAGGGCTTTCATATTATTGTGAAATAAGGTGAACGACCCCCAATTTTCTCAAGGACGAATTCGTTGTTTCACTCCAAAATATGAATACGAGAGAGTAACATAGGATTAGGCAATTGAAGGATTGGGTCTATTCCTTTGGGATATGACCTATCTTACCAGACAGATCCAATTTCTTGAGATACAACGGTAACCCTAATCACAGCATACAAACAAAATGCCATTAAATCCATAATTCTTTCTCATTATTTGGATCAGCTCATTTACAGCCCCTGTATTTTATTTTTCATTTCAAGAAAAAAATTGGGTGAAATAAGTCTTTAATAAAGCATAGGAAACAGATTTTAAGGTAGAGAATAAAGATTATGGGAGACCTACAGAAAGAACAGATGACCATACCTCATAAATACGCTTGCATTCCATGTACCTTAAGCTGGCCCTTATGAATGTCAGTGCAACAAGCTTTCTAACTAGAGAGCTTGTGGATATCTGCTTTTGGATCCCACTACATGAATCAAGAATAATAAATACAATTTCACAATTGACATTAAATACTCTTACAAAATGGTTTTGGCCTAATTCAATCCTACAAAACTGGTTTTATAAGATGTTACCATAACAATATGTTAAAGATATGATTTGATTGAATCAAATAGGAGAATATCTTAGTAAATATTATTAATTATTGATTTTGTTCCTTATGAATGTATCTCTTATTCATTATAAGTAAGAATACTAATGTGTGTATATAACACACAATTACAAGCAATCCTTTCAATAAATACAATAGACTATTTTCATACAATTCCTGGAAAAGGAATTACCTGTATAAAGTTTCATATACTAAAGGAACAGAAATCAAGTAATGTGGCTGATAATGTCTCAAATCACCCTATAAAAAATAAATTATAGGACATTAATACATGAGGCAATGCATTGTCTTTTATGACAAACCATACATGAAACATTATTAAAATAATGATACCTTTAACTTTTTCACAGTTGTGTATACTTGTTCAACACCGCAGGAGAAAATGAAATACTCAGAAGCTCTTTCATATGCATGCCAGGAAGGTAACATGCTTAGAAATCTATCCCCAACTTCAGCAGGTACAATATCCCCTAAGTTTTTTATCTTGAAATTCATTAACAAGTGATAAACAACATCAATGATCGGTTAAAAATCAAGAACTATCTTTAACTGAAACCAATGTAAAACCTGGAAAGCTTACAAAATAAAACTAGACATATTTTAACCAAAGATTTCTGTGAGCAGAAGAGGAGGTCCACATTTCCATTGTGGTCTCTCTCTTTACCCGTGCAAATGTTGTAATAAATATTAGGAGGGTGTTTTGGTCCTCTCCCGCTTATACTATTCACTTTTCTTCAAATAAAATTTCGTTATAAAATTGGAAATACATGAATTAAGTAACAAAGCCATGAGAGACAATATGCAGTTACAATGGATGTTGATTACCCAAGACTACACATCAAGTTAAACAATGGATTAATTAATGAAGCTATGACAGAGATGGAGATAATACGCAATGACTCTTGGTTAAAGCACTATGGCTGTTAATTACGCCCACATCAACTTAACCAATATACAGAGGAATCTAGCAATTATTTTGTCAATCAATCAAGCTCCAATCAATCCACCTAGAAATGGAATAATCCCCAATTAATAACAATTGATTCAGATACATTTCTTTATTAATTAATAACTTCAACATAGTTTTCTATACTCTTAACAAAAATCATCACAACCTGTCTAAAAAACCATTGCCACAATAAACTTTATAAAAGGTTAGCCATCAAACCTGATGCAAAAGATTCCGATGGGTTAGCATAACACCTTTAGGATTCCCAGTAGTTCCACTTGTGTATACAAGAGTAGCAATGTCATCAGATTCTATTGCTTCATATATGTAGTGCTTCCCTGCAATAACAGACAAGTTTTAGAGAATCGAATTATTGTTCCTGTCAGATGATAAATAGAATGGCCAATATGTTGTTTCTATTGCAAAACAAACGAATAATCTCTTATTATAAAATAAGAACAATATTATCATAACTCTATTGGGAAGGAGTTACATATTTGGCTTCTTTTTTGCCAATACTATCTGAGAGTACATAGAGAGTTGGAAGCCTTGCTTCATTGTTTAGTTCCCTGCCCACCCCACCCCCAATTTTTCTTTTTGATTTTCAACTTTTATTGTATTTAGTCTTATCTGTTATGGAGGATTTCTTAGACCCACTAGCAGTACTCTATTTTTTCTCTTAAATATCTCCCCCCCCCCCTCTCTCTCTCTCTCTCTATATATATATATATATATATATATATTCTTATACTTTGCCTATGAACAAAAGATAACACAGTTGAATGATTAATATATTTAATGCACATTTGTAAAGCAAGACCCAGGTGACATACTATTATCAAGAGAATCAAACAATACTCTGCGACTCTCACGTCCCAAATGTATGACTTCCATGAAAGTATATATAGGCACCTCCTTGTCTCCTTCACTGACTAGGCCCGATTTTTCTCCCCAAAGCAGAATAATAAATCTTATTGAAGCCTTCAAATAAAACAGTTCTGCAATCCGATTAAACATTTCAGGATTGTCGACAGCTAGTGCAACACTGAATAACAATAGCAGCAGTTAGCAACATGCTATTGAATAATATATAGAGAGTGGCATTTAAAAATGTGAAAATGCACCATCATAGTCGAACATGTACGTATAAACATTATTGATTGTATTGTATTAAACAAACTCAACCTCTACTACAACTGTGAAATACAATTAGTATTACTATTTTTATTGTTGTTGCTGATGTTTTAAATGCAATTCAATTAATATTTGATTTAATCTTTTAACACGCAGGTGAATGGTCTTTCTTTCCTAAACTCTACCACTTTGGTAAAGGCAGAACTCAAATCCTAGCATTTGTAGAGTAGATTTGTTATCATTTAAAACCAATTCACATTATATCCTGATATTATTTTTTTATCAGTTTCAGTAACATTTCTAGCAGAAAATGGGGAGAGTTCCAAGAACACACAGATAAGAAATATCAAAACTTTAATCACTCTTACATACCATAACAGAGCTCTAGCAAATTTAGATGCATTCCTCGTCAGTTCTAAGAACTTGTCAAGATGAAGGTGAGCCCAAATTGTCAGTTTCTAGTGCATACAAATATCTAACTACAAATCAAATGGAAAATATATATTGCTCACATAAGCTGGAAGGCACCGTGAAGACACCCAGAGCATTTATGTCTATGTACATGTGGAATGATTGAATATGCATTAATTTTAATAACACAAATACATAGGTAAGAAATATGACCATCTTAGGCATGGTGCGTAGCGTAGTGATAATGGATAGCTTCAGGAGGAGGGGGAGACAAATCTCATAATTGTCTAACATTGAACCGCATTACACATACAAATGAAAGTAATAATCATACTGAAAAATCATATTTCAAATTAAGGTAGAGGTGGATTGAGTTATGAAGTGGCCAAATATACAATACAATAATAGATACAATCTATTGGAACAAAATATATTTATTAAACCTTTCAGAGTGGTTGTATATTTGCATCAGTTCTTCAATTGATGACCTCGAACCCCTTACCACGTTGATTGCCCCACATGCCATCATACCTAAACTAAAATCATAACATGGATGTGATTAATAAAAAATAACTACTATTGTAGTGGTATAGGTACTACACATCGCTACTGAGCTTCTCATCGCTTCAGATGTGAGAATAAAAATTAATTTTCATTCAGTAAACACAAGAAAGGTAGAATGTTTATTTTTGTAGTAAGATGATTAAGCGAAATCTAATTAACAAATTATTTTTCTTAGCATTTTCTTTAAAGAATAAAAATACGAACATAAAATTTAGGTAATAGTAGTTATATTATACAAGTAGGCTAACTGCATCAGAAGCAACGTATATACCATTTTTTTATAGAGTTAAATAGCAATCCTAGTTACACAAAATCACAAACAGAAGTAATTTATTCTAAAAGTAATAGTTAAACAAGTGTCGATGGAGTTAATTACGTAATCTGCCAGCTTTGATTGTCAAATTATTTAATCATCAAAACCAATTGTAACTATTATTCTCTTTTATTAGGATATATTACAGTAGAATAATTGTATATATGGTTGTTAACTAATTTAAAGGGAAAGGTGCAGAGTATTAGTTTGTATTAAATATATATATATATATATGAGAGAGAATTCTCCAAGAGAGGAACACACAGTTTTACCCACACATTTTGGATTACGATCCTCGTCTATTCCCGTCTTCACTTTGCGAACCCTAGCTTTTGTTTCTTGTTCCGATTCCAATCGGTATCATGTCTTTTGAGAAATATGAAGTTTTGTTCATTCGTCTTAATGGTAAGAACTATTCCGCTTGGACATTTCAATTCGAGATCTTCGTCAAAGGAAAAAATCTTTGGGGTCATGTCGATGGGAGCACGTTGGTTTCTAACAAAGAAACCGAGAAGGATACCCATGCCAAATGGGAAGTCCACAACGCTCAAGTCATGGCCTGGATCATCGGCTCTGTTGATTCTACCATTGTTCTCAATCTCCGACCTTTCAAAACAGCGGCTAGCATGTGGGTCTATCTGAAGCAAATTTACCATCAGAACAACACCGCTCGACATTTCCTCCTTGAACACGACATTGGGGTTCTGCAACAAGATAGTCTGTCTATCTCAGAATTTTATTCTCAATTCATGAATCTTTGGTTAGAATACATGGATATCGTTTATGAAAAATTGCCCTCTACCGGCCTTGATTATGTTCAATTAGTTCATGAAACCACTAAAAGAGATCAATTTCTTATGAAATTGAGATCTGATTTTGAAGATGTTCGTTCCAATCTCATGAATCGAGATCCGGTACTCGGTTTGGATGCATGTCTTAATGAGTTGTTTCGTGAAGAACAACGCCTCCTCACACAATCAACCATGGAACAACAAAAATCCACAATAGTCCCTGTGGCCTATGTAGCACGAGGAAAGCCACGAAATCATGACTTGAGTGTTATACAAAGTTTCTGTTGCAAGAAATTTGATCATTATGCTTCCAATTGTCTTCACAAATTTTGTAATTACTACAAAAAAGATGGACACATTCTTAAAGATTGTCACATGAGGCTGCCAAGGAAATCTGCCACCGCTTTCACTGCCTCTGTTGGTTCTTCGGTTCCAAGTCCTTCTGCTACAACAGCTTCTATTCAACAATCTGCTCCTGCCTCTACTCAAACCTTGACCCCTGAGATGGTTCAGCAAATGATCATTTCCGCATTTTCTGCTTTGGGCATCTCAGGTAAAAAACATTTTGTCTCCCCTCTGGTACTTTGATTCTAGTGCATCCAACCATATGACCAACAATTCCTAACTCCTTACTAATGCCACCAAATATTTTGGAAATCTCACGATTTATACTGCCGATGGAAATCATTTGCCTATAACAGATATTGGTGATATTTCTTCTTCTCTCACTGATGTCTTGGTCTCTCCTGATCTCACTAGTAATCTCATTTCTATTGGTCAATTAGTTGATAATAATTGTCGTGTCGAATTCTCAAACTCTGGTTGTCTTGTGCAAGATCAACGATCAGGGACGATGATTGCGAAGGAGCCTAAAGTTGGACGTCTTTTTCCACTTTATTTACATTTGTCTTCCAGTCGTGGCTTACCTTTTATTTCTTGTAATTCTGCTCATTTAGATTATCATATGTGGCATAATCCAAATTCACATGTACTTTATACTATGCTTAAATCTGGTTTTCTTGGCAATAAAGATTCTCAACCTTTTCATGTTGATTTTGATTGTAGTTCTTGTAAGGTTGGCAAAAGTAAAATTCTACCATGTCCAAAACATAAATCTATTGTCGGAAAACCTTTTGATATGATCCATAGTGATGTATGGGGGATAGCCCCTGTTCCTTCTCATGCTAAGTACAAATACTTTGTCACTTTTATTGACGATTATAATCGATTCACATGGGTCTATTTCTTGTTGTCTAAACATGAAATATTCTGTACATTCAAATTTTTTCATGCTTATGTTCAGACCCAATTTTCTTCCAACATTAAAATTCTACGGTCTGATAATGAGGGGAGTATACATCTCATTTATTTCAAGAATTTCTGCAATCTAATGGTATCTTATCTCAACGGTCTTGTCCTTCCACTCCCCAACAAAATAGGGTAGCTGAACGAAAAAATCGTCATTTACTAGATGTTGCTCGTACTCTTTTGTTGGAATCTTCTGTGCACTCCAGGTTTTGGTGTGAAGCGCTATCCACTGCGGTTCATCTTATCAATCGTTTGCCATTGCCATCATTAAACAATGATTCTCCTTTCACTCGACTATTTGGCCATCTACTTGATTATTCCACTCTTCGTACCTTTGGTTATGTGTGTTATGTTCATCTTCCTCCCCACGAACGTCATAAACTCACTGCCCAATCTGTTGAATATGTTTTTCTTGGCTATTTCTCTCAACAAAAAGGTTTTGTATGTTATGATCTACATCTTGATAGGATCCATATCTCTAGAAATGTCATTTTCCAAGAAAATAAATATTATTTTGCCACTCACCATGACTCTCCCCCTTCTCCAATTTCTGTTTTGCCAATGTTTTCTAATTCTTCTACAAACAAACCTCTCCTAGTGTATCAAAGACGATGTAATCAAGATCATTCCTTGGTAGTTGATCCTATACCAGCAGCAGACCCAATACCTTTACGTCGCAGTACCCGAGTTCGTAAGCCACTTGAAAAATATAGTTTATCCTTAATAGCAACTTTGTCCTCTGTTTCTATTCCTTTATCTTATAAGCAGCCAATGGAGCATGAATGTTGGCAGAAGGCTATTAAAGCAAAACTCTTAGCACTTGAAGAAAATCAAACATGGGATTTTGTGCCATGTACTCCCTCTACTAAAACTTTGGGCAACAAATTTGTATTTTCCATTAAACTACGTTCAGATGGATCAATTGATCGTCACAAAGCTCAGTTGGTTGTGCTAGGAAATAAACAAGAGTATAGACTTGACTATGATGAAACCTTCGCACCAGTAGCTAAGATGACCAATGTTCGCACAATTCTAGCACTAGCTGCGTCTCAATCGTGGCCTTTACATCAAATGGATGTCAAAAACGCTTTTCTTCATGGAGACCTCAAGGAGGAAGTTTACATCAAACTTTCTATTGGTATTGCCTACACCATCTAATATTGTTTGTAGACTACAACGCTCTTTACATGGTTTGATACAGGCACCACAAGTATAGTTTGAAAAGATTCGATCCACACTACTTGGTTTCTCCTTCACTCAAAGTCAATATGATCCATCTCTTTTTCTACAAAGGACTTGTCATACTTCTTACTTATGTGGATGACATTGTGGTGACTGGTTCTGATGAAGAGGCTATTTCTCAACTTTAAACATTGTTGCATTCCACTTTTCACATGAAATACCTTGGCCGACTCAATTACTTCTTAGGTTTAGAGGTCCAGTATGCACCTACTGGCATATTTGTAAATCAACACAAATATATTCAAGATTTGATTGCGCTAGCAAACCTCACTAATTCCACTCCTATTGACACTCCCATGGAACTTAATGTCAAATTTCGAAGAGATGAAAGTAATCTTCTTGAAGACTCTACCTTTTATTGCAAACTGGTTGGTAGTCTTATATATCTCACCATCATTCGTCCAAATATTTCTTTTGTTGTCCGCAGAATCAGTAAGTTCATACAATCTCCTAGAAATTTCTACCTTTTTGCAGTGCAACGAATTATTTGTTATCTCCTTAGCACTTCTCATTGTGATTTATTTTTTTCAACTGGTTCACCCATCACTCTCCAAGCTTACAGTGATGCTGATTGGGTTGATTGTCCTGATACGAGGCGTTCTACTTCTGGTTGGTGTATGTTTTTAGGCAGTGCTCCTATTTCATGAAAATGTAAGAAACAAGATTCTGTCTCTAAGTCCTCTACTGAAGCTGAGTATAGTGCCTTGTCTGTTGCATGCTCTGAAATAATTTGGTTGCCTCACCGAGCTTGGATTCCCTCAATCACAACCAACACCATTACACGCTGACAATACTAGTGCCATCCAAATTGCAGCAAATCCAGTTTACCATGAATGCACAAAGCACATAGAAGTTGACTGTCACTCCATCCGGGAAGCCTATGATCGCAAAATTATTACTCTTCCTCATGTTTCAACTTCTATTCAGCTTGCCGACATCTTCACCAAATCTTTGACTTGACAGCATCATAATTTCCTAGTTGGCAAATTGATGTTGGTCAACTTACCAGAATCAATTTGAGGAAGGATGTCAACGGAATTAATTACGTAATCTGCCAGTTTTGATTGCCAAATTATTTAGTCATCAAAACCAATTATAACTGTTATTCTCTTTTATTAGGATATATTGTAGTAGAGTAATTGTATTAATTGTATATATGGTTGTTAGCTAATTTAAAGGAAAAGGGGCAAAATATTAGTTTGTATTATATTATATATATATATATATATATATATATATATGAGAGAATTATCCAAGAGGGGAACACACAGTTTTACCCATACATTTTCTATAGTTTAACAACAAGGGCAGTACTTTTTATGAAACAAAACTGTAAATAATTTTTTTTTTTTGTTTACAATATGTTGGCACCGTCTCATATTTTGCTTAAGTTATTATTGTGCTATAAAAAAACTAAAAATGTAAATTTTAATTTTTATCTTGTCTTGAAAAGTTTGTGCGCATAGAAGTTGTGCAGTTAGCATTTTCCTAAAAACAGTACACAGAGAGCAGAAAAAGAAAATAAACTCTGCTCTACACACCTTGATCTGCTACAAGCCAGCGACAAGAATTATCAGCGAAAAGTGCAAGCTTCTCATAGGGTCTTACTCCAATTACTCTCAATCCTTCAGCAAAGTCCAATATTGCATCCTCCAACTGAAATTTTGATTAGAAAGATATGCCACTATATGACATGACTTTGGATAAGTTCCTCATGTAATTCAACATTGGAACAAAGAACATTCATTTTATAGGTCAAGCTCATAAAAGTTTATAATAACTTAAAATTGATTTGCATTCCGTCAATAAATCTTTATATTAAAATACAATACTATTTTTAATCACATATTTATTATTGTGCAACATACAGCATCAACATATTTATTTGTTATCAAACAATAAAGATTAAAATAACCACACTCGTATTTGTAACAAGTTACTTAATGGTGTTAAGGTTGTGAAGTCTTGAAACAGTTTAAGTTGATCTCAGACATGTGTCATTGTGCTCATTGCTATCCTAAGCCAGACCGACAGACACAATATTTCTAAAGAATGAATTTTATGGGATTACGTCACATATTAGAACACATGATCAGAACATTACAGTTTCAGTTAGCGGAGACAATATTAATAAAACTAACTGGAAAAGAGAGACATACAACACTAACAACAATCAAAGCATTTTTCCCCGATAGGTAAGTTGGTTAGAAGGATCAAACCACGTCATTGAGTTTTGTAAAAAAACTAGTGCTTAATATTAGCTACTTATTTCACAATCCTTTTTGATGGATTCACTTTGAGTTTTCCTTGGCTTTCCTCTACCTTACATATGGGATATCCCTTATACAATCTATTCTTCTAACTAGCGTTTTTATTGGACTTCTCATATGTCTAGACCGCCTAGGCCCAAAAAGTGATGTAACATGAAAAAATAAAAATAGACCTGTTTATACGTCATAGATGAAGGAGGATCATGATACGGATCTACTAATGCAATTTTGTCACCATACTTTTCAGCAGAAGATCTCCAAATATCAGGAACAGCTTTCCACTCGTCTGAGGCCCCAACACCATTACCAGTGAGCAATGAACTTTCTAGAAATGGGGAGTACCTTCTTGTCAGCGGTTCCTCTGTCTACAAGCAGAAGTTGGTGGTTGGAACTCGGAAGAATAAAATAAAAATGTAATTAACGACAAAAACATGGATATCCACTTTCCTCTAGACACACAGAACAGTGCAGGCATGTTTATCAAAAGACAAGAGTGATATTAAGCTAATCATAATCAATAACAGAACATAGTTAAACAATAAGCAAACGAAAGCGATTCTTCAAAAAGAAAAAGTATCACGCAAAACAATTTTCACACCACAATTTAAAAACTCCAGACATAACAAGCTTATACGCCAAATTTCATTGACTTTGAACCTCAAACATTTTCCCCTAAATATTTGCCCTGACAAATAAAATTAAAACAAGAACAAAAAAACAAATAAATAAGGAGCAAGAGCGAAGTAGGAATGAGTGATGTGGGCGAAGCGAATTTGTAGAATGTTGGAGCAGTGAAGAAGCAAAAATGACCTTGGATTGAAATTGGCAAAAGACAGGTGGATGAAGATTGATCCTGGTGAAGTTGTTGGGAGCAGAGAAACGAGGAAAGACATGCGCCGAATAAGAGAAGGTGGAAGCATAGCTGAAACTCATGGGATTTGGAGGCGGCATTGGATTTGGCAGAAGAAGGGATATGAAGCACGTTACTTACAGAGAGATATATGCATCCATCCATACATGTATGTATTATGGAGTTTGATATTATTATAAAATTTAAGAGTGCGAGAATGTTGTTTTGAGAAAGAGAGAAGCGAGTGGTAGTTGCGCTGGTCAACTCAAGGTGAGTTGACCGTTGGCTTGCTTCCTGCAGACAAAAAAATTATTAATTATAAAGTTAGGATATACTGAAGCATTTCATCACGCCTTGATATAAATAATTCCAACAAAATGAATGATACTCTCGTTTCAACTCTATTTAATGCTACTATTGGCACACCTATCCTCATAAATATAATTAAGAGTAATTAAGTAAAAGTATATATCTATTATATGAAAACAGTGTCATTAAATGTTTTTAATAATTATTAAGGTAAATAATTTTGCTTAAATATAAGTTTAAAGATAGTAAAATTGGAAAATACTACATACATTAATTTTTTTTAATATTTGTTGAATTGGGAATCAATCTTTGGTGTTTTTGATAGCAAGGTGAGCTCTTCAAATTTGGGACCTGCTTGTGTCAACAATAAAGTGTTTGTCAAGGTTAACAGTGATAGGCAAAAATAGTTTAAAAAATTTCACAAAATCAATAACATTTTTAATATTTATAAGTAAACATATCCTGATTTCACCATCATTCATAAATATCAAAATATATTTTTTAAACAATTGAGGTGTGATGTGCATTTTACGGGATGAATTAAATTAAATCTACTTTTATTTTTCTTATAAGTAAGTTTAAGGATATATAGTAAATTATTTATTATTTTTATTAAATTCTCTTAAGTAAACAGAAAAGTAAGGATTTGTATTTTTATTGTATTTTGAAATAATTTTTAATTTTGTAGGTTTTGAAAATTTAAAAAAGTATCTGATAATTTGTTTAAAATAGCTTTTAAACATTATTTATTTTAGTTTTAAAAATTTAAAAATAATAACGGATAACAAAATATATATATAAAAAAATTAGTTCTTTGTTTTCATGTATTCACGATTTGAAGATAATTGTATTAAATTGTTATCTCTATTATCGTAATATTATCAATTCATTTTTTTCTATTATAACTTTTTATAGTTATCTATATTATTATCTTTTGCGTAAAATAATTTTAAAAATAGAATTATTAAATAATTTAAAAAAAAATAATGTTAGTTTCTATTTTTTTCAATTAAAAAAATTAATCATAGAAATTAAAAATTCACTAACTTAACTGTTAGTTTCAGAATAGATTGAAATGATTGGTTGTTGTAGCCATGAAATGTTAGGTTTTTGAAAAATCTTACAAAATGATTTTGTATTATTAGACTTTTTTATTAATTAAAAATTATTTCTTGATGTAGCGATTAATTTGGTTATTATAAAGTAAAAACTTGGAAAACGAAATTTCATTCAAAATGACTTTACACTCACATTTTAAATTTTGTACGTTTTGCAAAAAGAAAATGTTTTTTATTAAATATTTTGATTTCACTCAGTTAAACTAAAGGCATTTGATTTTTTTGTTTTTATAATTTAAAATATAAACATATAACTTTAAATTACTTATTTGAAAATCGGAGGGTCATTAAACTCCTTGAATAACTAATCAGATTAAAAATCAATCAATTATTTAAAAAATAAATAAATTTTAATTAAAAAATATATTTTAATTAAATCGAAATAAAATAAAATAAAATTTTCAGAATTTTTGAGTTTGATTTTAATAAAAAAAATTAAGATTAATTTTTTAAATATATTTTTTGAAAGACATTATATATTTTAATTTTTTTCATCTCATAATAATTATATTAATTTTAAATAATAATCATTTTTTTATATTTTAATAATTATTCATCTTATATTTTTTTAATATATTTTATATTTATAACTTTTACTATAATATGATAATAATTTTTATTATTTTTGAAAAAAATATTAATACTAATAAATTTATTACATAGTTATTATATTATATAAATATTATTTTATTAAATTTAGTTCAATCTTGATTTAATTTTTAAATTTTTTATTTTTATGACCGATGTATTTTAAAATTATTATTTTAAATATATAAATTTATCATGTAAATAATTTTAATATTAATATAATTTGGTATTGGAAAAACAAAAAACTATCTACATATAGTAATGGTTGCTATAGTCTTATAGGACCACGTTAAACCAAAACCACACGTACCATACTATTCACGAATAGATACTGTAAATCTACGTTTTTGGCATTTTTAGAGAAAAAATCATGTTACACAGTGCTTCGTTCGTAGGTTTTAGCTAACGTTTTAATTGTGTTTAAAATTATTTTTCTACTAAATAAAATTTAAATTATTTCATTTATCTAGACAGAATGATAAAATGTCAAATGTACTTTGTGAGAAAATGACCAAAGTAAACTATTACAATAGATAAGTCAACGATGTTTAGTTTCACAATTAGCCCAAATTAATTCGTTAAAAGAAAATTGTTGGTATTTTTTTTTTGTCTATTTTATAAAATTAACCAACGAGGGGTTACATATATTTCCATTTTAATCACATCACTATGTGTGACTGGGTCCACTCGTTTCAAAATCTTGTTTTTGCTTATCAAATCGTGAAACACGTGGCATTGTGAATGTTTTTTTTTCTTCTTCTAAGAATTGAAGTTAGTTGAAAAAGAAAATAAATGATATAATTAAACTGAATAAATAACTATCAGAGTTAAATGAGATAAACGTGGCTACGTAATCACTATATTTATGTATAAAAGATAGAATACTAATGTTTTTAGTATTTACTTCATTCATTGACTTTTTACCTTTAAAAACTAAAAACAACGACTGATTTTTAATTCTTAACAACCAATAAATAAAAAGCACTTCAAGACGGAACAACAGGGAAAAACACTAATGTTCTATTGTTTTTAAAACTTATTTTCACCCTCGTTAAATCATATGATTCTTTTTTTTAAGTGAATATTTTTTTATCTTAATATTATGTATTGAGTGTTTTGTTTCATTTTTAAAAATTTATTTCTTATTTTAATTTCATTTAACAGTTAATTTTTTTTTTCAACCATATCAATCGATTTTTTTATCTTTATATCTGTATTTAATTATGTTAAATGATTATATACATATATATATATATATATATAATATCAATGTACCGTTTTTATTTTAAATTAAATTTTAATATTTAAAAATAAATCATCAATAATCAAAACTAACCTTGCTTCTCCATAAATTATTTATCCTAAATTGTAATGTATAAGTCACAATATTATTTACCAAGGATTTTTATTCCATGATAAGATATTTAAAAATACTGACTTATTATAATTTTTGACAATATAAAAATAATCATATATTTTATATGCTAGAAACGAAAATAATAATTGTCATATATGATCATAAATAAACAAAAAAATATAAAAAATTATTAATGTTATTTTAGGTAATTATAGACAACCTAATACGCCAAAGACACTGGTTAATAAATTAAAAATTAACAATACATTCCTTTACACATTCGAACAAAACTTTAATATTGTTTAATTTTAATAATAATAATAATAATAATAAGATGTAGAATACAGTGATATATTGGTATCCCGGGCTAAAACAACTCTGATAAATGCCATGATTGTTTGGTTGGACTAGGAAATGGTGTTGCTCGTTATTCCTTTGGCTTCATTATCTTTTCCAAACTTTATCTTCTCACTTCAAATTTCCAAAATTTCCATATGCTTAATTCATTATACCTATGCTACTTAGCCTTGAGAGACTTCAGTTTAATTTTTATGGAATTGAGTAGAAATCTGTACACCATCGACCATTAAGAAATAACCATACATAGTAAAAGAAAAAATGTGCTGAACCAAAGGTACCTCTGTCATAGCTATTGTGAGTGGCTAATGTCGCTGCGGTCATCATTTTCAGTACGGTACATGAATTTAAGCGCGAACAGGACAATTCCAACAATTGCCAATTTAATGAAACCATCCCTTGAAATAATTGAGGTTAAAGCAAGTGGTAAGGGAGTTAGTCCTGATGTATAATACACTTCACATTTGACAAACTTGGTCACTCTGTCCTTTCTGCTGTGCACACTCATGGCATTGCCAATGGTGCCATTTTCTTCTGTGATCTTTCATTCCTTCAACTGCACTTCCCTTCCAGTTCCATTCACTTCACATTTTGTTCGCCGCCTTCCATGTCACTGCTCACTCTCTTCCCACCCTTTTTCACATTCCCTTCGGTATGTTCACCAACAACTACTGTCTCATACTCTCATTTCCTTCTTTTTTTTCTTTTTCTGAAAATAATGTTGCCTGTAATGCAACTTCCCACATTTTCATTCTGTCATAGTAGTGTTGCAAGCAAAAAACCTTGAAATCACATGTTTGTTAAAATATTAGGTAAATGCAAAACACACTTCATGTGTAGTAGTACATCGACTGCCTTTTCATTTTACTATTTATTTATCCTTTCCAATTCAATTAGCCGTTTTCCATTGACAGATTTTCTTTTTCTTGGTGTTAACAAGTTTACCATGGGGGAGACAGCCACCAAGGACAAGGATATGTGCTTCAATTACAGGTTCATACTCGAGCTAATTATTTATATGTGCGTAGGACTGTATTCTTGTAATTGTGCAGAAAGAAGGTATGGAAATGAGAATAGTAAATAACAGTTTAGTGTGTATGTGTTTTTATTTACTGGCAGATGTTTCAGTAGATGTAGCTGTAGAGGAAAAACGGCTCCCCAAAGGAGAAACTTGGTCTGTTCACAAGTTTGGTGGAACTTGTGTGGGAAACTCATCGCGAATAAAGAATGTTGCAGACATAATTATTAATGACAATTCTGAGAGGAAATTTGTTGTGGTCTCTGCTATGTCAAAGGTGACTGATATGATGTATGATCTTATCCACAAGGCTCAATCCCGCACCGAGTCTTATGTTTCTGCCCTGGACGCGGTTTTAGAGAAGCACAGTTCAACTGCACATGACCTACTTGCTGGAGAAGATCTTTCTACATTTTTATCCCAGTTGCATCAAGATATCAGTAACCTCAAAGCAATGCTTCAGGCCATATACATTGGTACCCCTATTCTGTATATGTTTCTGCCCTTTCACTCCTCCTTTGAACTAAAAAGTCATGTAACATACCTCATATCTTGCAGCTGGTCATGCAACAGAATCCTTTACTGACTTTGTCGTGGGACACGGAGAGTTGTGGTCTGCACAGATATTGTCTTTAGTAATTAAGAAAGTATGCTATTCTATTAAGAATTGTGCATTTTCTTTTAATCTGAATTGTGCTGATTGCAGCTGCTTTCCTCTAATTCTGCAGCGTGGGATTGACTGCAAATGGATGGATGCGAGGGAAGTTCTTGTTGTGAATCCTACTCGTTCTAATCAAGTTGATCCGGACTACTGGGAATCCGAACGAAAACTTGAGGAATGGTACTCTCTAAATCCATCTGATGTAATCATTGCCACAGGATTTATTGCAAGCACACGTCAGAATATTCCTACTACTCTCAAGAGAGATGGAAGTGACTTCTCGGCAGCTATTATGGGTGCTCTCTTTAAGGCTCGTCAGATCACAATTTGGACAGATGTAGATGGCGTGTATAGTGCAGATCCAAGAAAAGGTTTGTTCTGCTGCTTCACTATTGACACGGTGACGATGATTTTGTTTTGTTCTGTCTTATATATGTATTATGTATATATATTTGACAGCCTCGATGTGGGTTTAATTTAGTTTAGACATGTTCTGCAGTTGGTGATGCTGTGATTTTGAAGACATTGTCTTATCAAGAAGCATGGGAAATGGTAAGTTGTATTCTGGAAAGTGTTGAAGTTAATTTTGTCTATAAAACTCAGGAGACTAACTTCCAAATCTTGCGCAGTCTTATTTTGGTGCCAATGTCCTACATCCACGCACCATTACTCCAGTTATTCAATATGGCATACCCATTATAATAAGGAATATTTTCAACCTTTCTTCTCCTGGAACAATGATCTGCCATCCTTCTATTATTGGTGATGAAGATAGGCTGATATTTAAAAATTATGTCAAAGGCTTTGCAACAATAGACAACTTGGCACTAGTAAATGTTGAGGGGTGAGTCATCAATTGCAACCATTTTAAGCTTGACGCCTCAAACTTGTAGACGATAATGTTTTTCTCATTGTCTCCTTTTGCAGAACCGGAATGGCTGGTGTTCCGGGAACTGCAAGCGCTATTTTTGCTGCAGTAAAAGATGTTGGAGCTAATGTTATAATGATATCACAGGTTCACTCACCATCTTTTGCTGTTTTCCCCCCTAATTTTGCCATGTTATATATATATGAAACTTCTATGGTAATAACTTTGTAGGCTAGTAGTGAGCATTCTGTGTGCTTTGCTGTTCCTGAGAAAGAAGTAAAAGCTGTTGCTGAGGTGTTACAGTCTTTATTTCATGGCGCTTTGGATGCTGGTCGTCTTTCTCAGGTGCCAAATCTAATTCTGATACAACTTATTAAATTAAACTTTGTTATGTCTATCTACAGGAAAATAATGGCGTCACCTCTCAGGTTGCAATCGTTCCAAATTGTAGTATTTTGGCAGCTGTCGGCCAGAAAATGGCAAGTACTCCGGGAGTCTGTGCCACCCTTTTCGATGCATTGGCTAAGGTCAGCAAGTTATTGTGGTTTATGTTAGTATTGTGTTAGTTATTATTGTGTGCTGGTATAATTTATTTTTTATTTGCAATTTATTTCAGTATAACTTTGATGGATGTTCATGCAAATTGATTAGTAAAAATCACCTCTGCATTATGTTCATGCAAATAATATAGAAAAATTAATCCAAGTATTCACATGTCAAGAGTTGAGATATCTCTTTCCTATATAAAAAATAAACATTAGAGCAATAACAAGAACTAATAAATATAAAATTATGCAGCAAGAACATATACAAAAGAAGATAAGAAATTGAGTTACATCAATGAAACGTGAATGTTATATTGAATTAACGAATTCTTTTCTTCTACTCTCCTCTATTCGATTGCAATACGTGGTATATTTTGTTTCTTGGTTTAACTTGTGTGTAGTCAAACATGTTGTTTAAATTTAACACAGGCCAACATAAACGTGCGTGCTGTAGCACAAGGTTGTTCTGAGTACAACATCACCGTAGTTGTAAAGCGGGAGGATTCTATAAAGGCTTTACGGGCTGTTCATTCCAGATTTTATCTCTCAAAAACCACCATAGCAATGGGCATTATTGGCCCTGGATTAATTGGAAGTACACTGCTTGACCAGCTAAGAGATCAGGTCAAGTTTTTGCATATAATTTTGCAGGAATGCATCATTGTTTCAGTTCTTCCTGATTTTTTTCCGGACATAACAATAATCTACTTGTATCTATAATTGGTGGTTATTTTCCCCTTCACAGCAAACCCACATCAGTCTTTTTCTTCGCCGGCAAATTTTCACCCGCAAAATTACATATTTAAGCATTTTCTTAATATACACGAGACATATTAAAAAATTATGGTAAGAAATAATAACTATAAACACCGTTGAAGGTTTCTTGAGGTTTATCCCGAATTTATGTAACATTTATCTATGCAGGCTGCAATTCTGAAAGCGGAACTTAACATTGAGTTGCGTGTAATGGGGATCATGGGTTCTAAGCTGATGCTCCTTGACGATGATACGTAAGTCAAAATTATTCAGTTTTATTATTTGGACATCAAGTAGTTGACATAATATTTGAGACCGTGCTAGGTAAGGATAATGATTTAACCTTGAAGCTCATGAGCATTTAGTTCCAATACAATAGAACAGCATAATAGAAGCATGAACCATCACATGCCTAATCTAATCAACAGTTAAGACTCAAACTTTGTGAGCAACTGAACATAACCAACTTACACAGTCAATAAAGATGTGTAATGATGTCAAACATATGATTCTGTAGTCAATTCATTTTTTATTTTTTTTTGCCTGAAGAAGAAAATTTCGCCGATGACAGAGATGGTTATCTCTGCCTTATAGATCAAATTACGATGAACTATAATTTCTGATTTTTCAGGGGCATCAACTTAGGCAAATGGAGAGAACTTCGAGAAGAAAAAGGAGAAGTGGCTAATTTGGAAAAATTTGTTCAAAATGTGCATGGAAATCATTTTATACCAAACACTGTATTAGTGGACTGCACAGCCGACTCCTTCATTGCAAGCAATTATGC